TGGAACAGATGGAGATTAGTCCACACACGGTGTAGAAGGGAGCGAGATGGAACAGATGGAGATTAGTCCACACACGGGGTAGAAGGTGGAGTGAGATGGAACAGATGGAGATTAGTCCACCCATGAGTGACATGGAACAGATGGAGATTAGTCCACACACGGGTAGAAGGGAGTAAGATGGATCAGATGGAGATTAGTCCACCCATGAGTGACATGGAACAGATGGAGATTAGTCCACACACGGGTAGAAGGGAGTGAGATGGAACAGATGGAGATTAGTCCACACACGGGGTAGAAGGGAGTGAGATGGAACAGATGGAGATTAGTCCACACACGGTGTAGAAGGGAGTGAGATGGATCAGATGAAGATTAGTCCACACACGGTGTAGAAGGGAGTGAGATGGAACAGGTGGAGATTAGTCCCCCCATGAGTGAGATGGAACAGATGGAGATTAGTCCACCCATGAGTGAGATGGAACAGATGGAGATTAGTCCACGCACGGTGTAGAAGGGAGTGAGATGGATCAGATGAAGATTAGTCCACACACGGTGTAGAAGGGAGTGAGATGGAACAGGTGGAGATTAGTCCCCCCATGAGTGAGATGGAACAGATGGAGATTAGTCCACCCATGAGTGAGATGGAACAGATGGAGATTAGTCCACGCACGGGTAGAAGGGAGTGAGATGGATCAGATGGAGATTAGTCCACACACGGTGTAGAAGGGAGTGAGATGGAACAGATGGAGATTAGTCCACGCACGGGTAGAAGGGAGTGAGATGGATCAGATGGAGATTAGTCCACACACGGTGTAGAAGGGAGTGAGATGGATCAGATGGAGATTAGTCCACACACGGGGTAGAAGGGAGTGAGATGGAACAGATGGAGATTAGTCCACCCATGAGTGAGATGGAACAGATGGAGATTAGTCCACACACGGGTAGAAGGGAGTGAGATGGAACAGATAGAGATTAGTCCACACACGGTGTAGAAGGGAGTGAGATGGAACAGATGGAGATTAGTCCACGCACGGGTAGAAGGGAGTGAGATGGAACAGATATAGATTAGTCCACCCATGAGTGAGATGGAACAGATGGAGATTAGTCCACACACGGGTAGAAGGGAGTGAGATGGAACAGATGGAGATTAGTCCACACGGGGTCGAAGGGAGTGAGATGGATCAGATGGAGATTAGTCCACTCACGGGTAGAAGAGAGTGAGATGGATCAGATGGAGATTAGTCCACACACGGGGTAGAAGGGAGTGAGATGGAACAGATGGAGATTAGTCCACCCATGAGTGGCATGGAACAGATGGAGATTAGTCCACACACGGGTAGAAGGGAGTAAGATGGATCAGATGGAGATTAGTCCACCCATGAGTGACATGGAACAGATGGAGATTAGTCCACACACGGGTAGAAGGGAGTGAGATGGAACAGATGGAGATTAGTCCACACACGGGGTAGAAGGGAGTGAGATGGAACAGATGGAGATTAGTCCACACACGGGGTAGAAGGGAGTGAGATGGAACAGATGGAGATTAGTCCACACACGGTGTAGAAGGGAGCGAGATGGAACAGATGGAGATTAGTCCACACACGGGGTAGAAGGTGGAGTGAGATGGAACAGATGGAGATTAGCCCACCCATGAGTGACATGGAACAGATGGAGATTAGTCCACACACGGGTAGAAGGGAGTAAGATGGATCAGATGGAGATTAGTCCACCCATGAGTGACATGGAACAGATGGAGATTAGTCCACACACGGGTAGAAGGGAGTGAGATGGAACAGATGGAGATTAGTCCACACACGGGGTAGAAGGGAGTGAGATGGAACAGATGGAGATTAGTCCACACACGGTGTAGAAGGGAGTGAGATGGATCAGATGAAGATTAGTCCACACACGGTGTAGAAGGGAGTGAGATGGAACAGGTGGAGATTAGTCCCCCCATGAGTGAGATGGAACAGATGGAGATTAGTCCACCCATGAGTGAGATGGAACAGATGGAGATTAGTCCACGCACGGGTAGAAGGGAGTGAGATGGATCAGATGGAGATTAGTCCACACACGGTGTAGAAGGGAGTGAGATGGAACAGATGGAGATTAGTCCCCACACGGGGTAGAAGGGAGTGAGATGAAACAGATGGAGATTAGTCCACGCACGGGTAGAAGGGAGTGAGATGGATCAGATGGAGATTAGTCCACACACGGTGTAGAAGGGAGTGAGATGGATCAGATGGAGATTAGTCCACACACGGGGTAGAAGGGAGTGAGATGGAACAGATGGAGATTAGTCCACCCATGAGTGAGATGGAACAGATGGAGATTAGTCCACACACGGGTAGAAGGGAGTGAGATGGAACAGATAGAGATTAGTCCACACACGGTGTAGAAGGGAGTGAGATGGAACAGATGGAGATTAGTCCACGCACGGGTAGAAGGGAGTGAGATGGAACAGATATAGATTAGTCCACCCATGAGTGAGATGGAACAGATGGAGATTAGTCCACACACGGGTAGAAGGGAGTGAGATGGAACAGATGGAGATTAGTCCACACGGGGTCGAAGGGAGTGAGATGGATCAGATGGAGATTAGTCCACACACGGGTAGAAGAGAGTGAGATGGATCAGATGGAGATTAGTCCACACACGGGGTAGAAGGGAGTGAGATGGAACAGATGGAGATTAGTCCACCCATGAGTGAGATGGAACAGATGGAGATTAGTCCACACACGGGTAGAAGGGAGTGAGATGGATCAGATGGAGATTAGTCCACACACGGGGTAGAAGGGAGTGAGATGGAACAGATGGAGATTAGTCCACCCACAGGTAGAAGGGAGTGAGATGGATCAGATGGAGATTAGTCCACACACGGTGTAGAAGGTGGATGGAGATGGAACAGATGGAGATTAGTCCACCCACAGGTAGAAGGGAGTGAGATGGAGCAGATGGAGATTAGTCCACACACGGTGTAGAAGGTGGATGGAGATGGAACAGATGGAGATTAGTCCCCCCATGAGTGACATGGAACAGATGGAGATTAGTCCACTTATAAGTGAGATGGAACAGATGGAGATTAGTCCATCCACTGTGCGGTTTGCGGGCTCGTGAGGACTAGGTACGGGCTCGTGTGTGTGCGTACGTGTGTGTGTGTGTGTACGTGTGTGTGTGTACGTGTGTGTGTGTGTGTCTGTGTGTGTGTCTGTGTGTGTGTCTGTGTGTGTGTGTCTGTGTGTGTGTCTGTGTGTGTGTCTGTGTGTGTGTCTGTGTGTGTGTCTGTGGCAGTTGCGGGGTCTGCGCCTTCACCTCCTCCTCCGTGCCGTTGTTGGCTGAGCTTTGGGTAAACCAAGTGCGGTGGTGGAGTGAGGGGGAGGGAGGGGGCTGAGGAGGAGCGGGGGGCTGAGGAGGAGGGGGGGGAGGCTGAGGAGGAGGAGGGGGAGGAGGGGAGGGTGCTGTAAGCGAGAGCTGCGTGGATGGTTCCACCGGCGGCAATAAATAATAGAAAGAGTGGTTGGGTTACGACTGCCACCAGCCTGGTGGAAAGCTCGCTCACCCGCTCGCTCACCCGCTCGCTCACCCGCTCGCTCACCCGATCGCTCACCCGCTCGCTCACCCGCTCGCTCACCCGCTCGCTCACCCGCTCGCTCACCCGCTCGCTCACCCGATCGCTCACTCCCCCACCCGTCCACTCACTAACCCACCCACCAAATTACTCACCCACCCACCCGTCCACCCAATCACCCAATCACTCACCCACCCACTCACTCACCCAATCACTCACCCACCCACTCACCCAGCCACTCAATCACCCACCCAATCACCCACCCACCCACTCACCTTCCCACCCACCCACTCACCTACCCACTCACCCAGCCACCCAATCACCCACTCACCCACCCACTCACCCACCCACTCACCCACCCACTCACCCACCCACTCGTGCTGTAGGTGGTGGTCACTGGGATTTCTCGATAATTCCACATTTGAGATCCGCTCCGGGTTTTTCTCCGTGCTCCGTCAAGAGTTTTTCTGGCGGATTAACTAATTTATTATTCTTATTATTACATTTGTGACCTGGTGTGCCAGGACATCCGTTCCGTGTTTTTCCGTGACCTCCTGGCCTCACGTTCTTTACCGGAATCTGCCGGATCCCGCTGCTGCGCTCCATCCCCCGGGCTTTTACGGGCCGCGTCACGTTCCAGCCCAGGGTTCCGTGACGGGTTTTCCCACACTCTGTGGTGTCCGTGTCTCGTGATCCGCGACGATGACGACGCCGATGACGCCGATGATTATGACGACGCTGATGATGACGACGACGCTGATGATGACGACGATGACGACGACGACGATGACGCTGATGACGACGCCGATGGTGACGACGACGGTGACGACGCCGATGACGACGACGTTGATGACGACGACGGTGACGACGACGACGCCGATGGTGACGACGTTGATGACGACGACGTTGATGACGACGACGGTGACGATGACGCCGATGATGACGACGCCGATGATGATGACGACGCTGATGACGACGCTGATGACGACGTTGATGATGACGACGATGACGCTGATGACGATAACGACGCTGATGATGACGTTGACGACGATGATGACACCAGTGATGACGCTGATGATGACGCTGATGACGACGATACTTGTGATGTCGATGACGACGCTGATGATGACGTTGTTGACGATGATGACACCGATGATGACGCTGATGACGACGATACTTATGATGCCGATGACGACGACGATGACGACGCCGATGATGATGATGACGCTGATGATGACGCTGATGATGACATTGATGACGACGACGATGATGGCGCCGACGATGACGACGCTGATGATAACGTTGATGACGCTGACACCGATGATGACGCTGATGACGACGATACTTATACCGATGATGATGACGACGCTGATGATGACATTGATGACGACGACGATGATGACGCCGGCGCCGTTATCCCCCCCCGCCCCGCCAGTGGCCGCGACGATGCCGACCCCGATCCGACTGCGGGAGCTGATCCGCACCATCCGGACGGCGCGCACGCAGGCGGAGGAGCGTGCCATCATCCAGAAGGAGTGCGCCCTCATCCGCTCGTCGTTCCGCGAGGAGGACAACACCTACCGCTGCCGCAACGTCGCCAAGCTGCTGTACATGCACATGCTGGGCTACCCAGCGCACTTTGGGCAGGTGAGGAGGTGGTGGTGGAGGTGGTGGTGGTGGAGGTGGTGGTGGTGGAGGTGGTGGAGGTGGTGGAGGTGGTGGAGGTGGAGATGGTGGTGGAGATGGTGGTGATGGTGGTGGTGAAGGAGGAGGTGGTGAAGGAGGAGGTGGTGGTGGTGGTGGTGGAGATGGTGGAGGTGGTGGTGGTGGTGGAGGTGGTGGTGGTGGTGGTGGTGGAGGTGGTGGTGGTGGTGGTGGAGGTGGTGGTGGTGATGGTGGAGGTGGTGGAGGAGGTGGTGGAGTAGGTGGTGGAGTAGGTGGTGGAGGAGGTGGTGGAGGAGGTGGTCAAGGTGGAGGTGGTGGTGGTGGTGGTGGAGATGGTGGAGGTGATGGTGGTGGTGGTGGTGAAGGAGGAGGTGGTGAAGGAGGAGGTGGTGGTGGTGGTGGTGGAGGAGGTGGTGGTGGAGATGGTGGAGGTGGTGGTGGTGGAGATGGTGGAGGTGGTGGTGGTGGTGGTGGTGAAGGAGGAAGTGGTGGAGGTGGTGGAGGAGGAGGTGGTGGAGGAGGAGGTGGTGGAGGTGGAGGTGGTGGAGGTGGAGATGGTGGAGGAGGAGGAGATGGTGGAGGAGGTGGAGGAGGAGATGATGGAGGAGGTGGAGGAGGAGATGGTGGAGGAGGAGATGGTGGAGGATGTGGAGGAGGAGATGGTGGAGGAGGTGGAGGTGGAGATGGAGGAGGTGGTGGAGGAAGAGGAGGAGTAGGAGTAGTAGGAAGTTGTGGTGGTGGAGGAGATGGAGGAGGTAGAGGTAATGGAGGTGGTGGAGGAGGTGGAGGAGGTGGAGGAGGTGGTAGTAGAGAGAGGTGGTGGTGGAGGAAGAGGAGGAGTAGGAAGTTGTGGAGGTGGTGGACAAGGTGGTGGACAAGGAGGTGGATGTGGTGGTGGTGGTGGTGGAGATGGAGGTGGTGGACAAGATGCACCCCTGTCGCAACGTCACCAAGCTGCTCCCCCCCCCCCCCACGTGCTGCTGCTACTACTACTACTGCTGCTGCTGCCGCTGCCGCTGCTGCTGCTGCTGCTACCGCTGCTGCTACCGCTGCTGCCGCTGCTGCTGCTACTGCTGCTGCTACTGCTGCTGCTGCTCCTACTGCTGCTGCTACCGCTGCTGCTACTGCTGCTACTGCTACTGCTACCGCTGCTGCTGCTCCTACCGCTGCTGCTGCTGCTGCCACTGCTGCTGCTACCGCTGCTGCTGGTGCTACCGCTGCTGCTGCTGCTGCTGCTGCTCCTACCGCTGCTGCTGCTGCTACCGCTACTGCCGCTGCCGCCGCTCTGCCGCTGCTGCAGCTGGAGTGCCTGAAGCTGATCGCGTCGCAGCGCTTCACGGACAAGCGCATCGGATACCTGGGCGCCATGCTGCTGCTGGACGAGCGCCAGGACGTCCACCTGCTCATGACCAACTCCATCAAGATGTGAGACGCTCACTCGCTCACACTCACTCACGCTCGCTCACTCTCACGCTCGCTCACGCTCGCCCACACTCGCTCACTCACTCTAACTCACTCACTCTCACGCTCACGTTCTCACGCTCGCTCTCAGGCTCGCACTCACTCACTCACTCTCACTCACTCACTCTCACTCACTCACTCTCACTCACTCACTCACTCTCACTCACTCACTCTCACTCACTCTCACTCACTCTTACTCACTGGCTCTCATTCTCACGCTCGCTCTCTCGCTCGCTCTCACGCTCGCCCTCACACTCACTCTCACGCTTACGCTCACTCTCATGCTCACTCTCACGCTCGCTCTCTCTCTCATGCTCACTCTCACTCACGCTCGCTCTCACTCTCACGCTCGCTCTCTCTTATGCTCACTCTCACTCACGCTGGCTCTCACGCTCACTCTCACGCTCGCCCTCACTCATGCTCACTCTCACTCACGCTCACTCTCACGCTCGCCCTCACTCATGCTCACTCTCATGCTCTCACTCACGCTCTCACACTCGTCCTCTCGCTCGCTCTCACACTCGCTCGCTCTCACACTCTCACACTCATCCCCTCGCTCGCTCTCACACTCGCTCGCTCTCACTTACGCTCACACTCAATCTCACGCTCACTCTCACGCTCGCTCTCACTCACGCTCGCACTCACGCTCGCTCTCACGCTCACTCTCACGCTCACTCTCTCGCTCACTCTCATGCTCAATCTCACTCTCACTCTCATGCTCACGCTCACTCACGCTCACTCTCGCCCTCACCCTCTCTCACTCTCACGCTCGCTCTCACGCTCACTCTTACGCTCACTCACTCTCACGTTCACTCGCTCTCATGCTCTCTCACTCTCACGCTCACTCTCACGCTCACTCTCACGCTCGCTCTCACTCTCACGCTCTCTCTCACGCTCGAACTTGCTGTCTCCCATTCTCACTTGCTCGCTCTGTGTGTGTGTGCGTGTGCGTGCGCGTGTGTGCGTGCGCGTGTGTGCGTGCGTGTGCATGCATGTGTATGTGCGTGCGTGTGTGTGTGTGCGCCTGTGTGTGTGTGTGTGCGTGCGCAATGTGCGTGTGTGTGTGTGCGCCTGTGTGTGTGCGTGTGTGTGTGTGCGCCTGTGTGTGTGTGTGTGCGTGCGCCTGTGCGTGTGTGCGTGCGTGTGTGTGCGAGTGTGTGTGCGTGTGTGTGTGTGTGTGTGCGTGCGTGCGCGTGTGTGTGCGTGCGCCTGTGCGTGCGCCTGTGTGTGCGTGCACCTGTGCGTGCGTGTGTGTGTGCGTGCGTGTGTGTGTGTGTGCGTGCGTGCGCGTGTGTGTGCGTGCGCCTGTGCGTGCGCCTGTGTGTGTGTGCGTGTGTGTGTGCGTGTGTGTGTGTGCGTGCGTGCGTGCGTGCGTGCGTGTGTGCGTGTGTGCGTGTGTGTGCGTGCGCCTGTGTGCGTGCGTGTGTGTGTGCGTGTGTGTGTGCGTGTGTGCGTGCGTGTGTGCTTGTGTGTGTGTGCTTGTGTGTGTGTGTGTGCGTGCGTGCGTGCGCTGGCAGGGACCTGAACCACAACACGCAGTACGTGCAGGGCCTGGCGCTGTGCACGTTGGGCTCCATGGGCTCCGCTGAGATGTGCCGCGACCTTGCCGGGGAGGTGGAGCGCCTCCTCAAGTCCTCCAACTCGTACATCCGCAAGAAGGTGAGCACGCTGCTCGCTCGCTCCTCGCCCGCTCACTCACTCAACCCACTCACCCGCTCACACACTCACTCACACACTCACTCACCCGCTCAGCCACACACTCATTCACCCACTCACTCACCTGCTCACTCACTCACCCACTCACTCACACGCTCACTCACCCACTCACCCACTCACTCACTCACCCACTCACTCACTCACCCACTCACTCATTCACCCACTCACTCATTCACCCACTCACTCACCTGCTCACTCACTCACCCACTCACTCACCCGCTCACTCACCCACTCACCTACTCAGTCACCCGCTCACTCGCTCACCCATTCACTCACCCACACACTCACTCACACACTCACTCACACACTCACTCACCCGCTCAGCCACACACTCATTCACCCACTCACTCACCTGCTCACTCACTCACCCACTCACTCACACGCTCACTCACCCACTCACCCACTCACTCACTCACCCACTCACTCACTCACCCACTCACTCATTCACCCACTCACTCATTCACCCACTCACTCACCTGCTCACTCACTCACCCACTCACTCACCCACTCACTCACCCGCTCACTCACCCACTCACCTACTCAGTCACCCGCTCACTCGCTCACCCATTCACTCACCCACACACTCACTCACACACTCACTCACACACTCACTCACCCGCTCAGCCACACACTCATTCACCCACTCACTCACCTGCTCACTCACTCACCCACTCACTCACACGCTCACTCACCCACTCACCCACTCACTCACTCACCCACTCACCCACTCACTCACTCACCCACTCACTCATTCACCCACTCACTCATTCACCCACTCACTCACCTGCTCACTCACTCACCCACTCACTCACCCACTCACTCACCCGCTCACTCACCCACTCACCTACTCAGTCACCCGCTCACTCGCTCACCCATTCACTCACCCACACACTCACTCACACACTCACTCACACACTCACTCACCCGCTCAGCCACACACTCATTCACCCACTCACTCACCTGCTCACTCACTCACCCACTCACTCACACGCTCACTCACCCACTCACCCACTCACTCACTCACCCACTCACTCACTCACCCACTCACTCATTCACCCACTCACTCATTCACCCACTCACTCACCTGCTCACTCACTCACCCACTCACTCACCCACTCACTCACCCGCTCACTCACCCACTCACCTACTCAGTCACCCGCTCACTCGCTCACCCATTCACTCACCCACTCACTCACTCACACACTCACTCACCCACTCAGTCACCCACTCACTCACTCACCCGCTCACTCACCCGCTCACTCACCCGCTCACCCACTCAGTCACCCGCTCACTCACTCAGTCACCCGCTCACTCACTCAGTCACCCGCTCACTCACTCAGTCACCCGCTCACTCACTCAGTCACCCGCTCACTCACTCACCCACTCACTCACTCACCCACTCAGTCACCCACTCATTCACCCACTCACTCACTCACCCACTCACTCACTCACTCCCCCACTCACTCACTCACCCACTCACTCACCTGCTCAGTCACCCGCTCACTCACCCGCTCAGTCACCCGCTCACTCACCCACTCACTCACCCACTCACTCACCCGCTCACTCACCCACTCAGTCACCCGCTCACTCACTCAGTCACCCGCTCACTCACTCACCCACTCACTCACCCACTCACTCACACACTCACTCACCCACTCACTCACTCACACACTCACTCACCCACTCACTCACCCGCTCACTCACCCACTCACTCACCCACTCACTCACCCGCTCACTCACCCACTCACTCACTCACCCACCCACTCACTCACTCACTCACCCACCCACTCACTCACTCACTCACCCACTCACTCACTCACCCACTCACTCACTCACCCACTCACTCATTCACCCACTCACTCACTCAACCCACTCACTCACTCACCCACTCACTCAACCCACTCACTCACTTACTCACTCACCCACTCACTCACTCACTCACCCACTCACTCACCCACTCACTCACTCAACCCACTCACTCACTCTCTCTACCACTCACTCCCAGGCTCGCCCGCCCACTCACCCCCTCGTTCGCTCACTCACGGGCACGCTCACTCACCAGCTCACTCTCTGTGTGTGTGTGTGTCTTTGTGCGTGCGTGTGTCTGTGCATGCGTGTGTCTGTGTGTATGTATCTGTGTGTGTGCCTGTGTGTGTGTGTGCCTGTGTGTGTGTTTATCTGTGTGTGCGTGTGTCTGTGTGTGCGTGTGTCTGTGTGTGTGTGTGTGCGTGTGTCTGTGTGTGTGTCTGTGTGTGCGTGTATCTGTGTGTGTGTGTGTCTGTGTGTGTGTGTCTGTGTGTGTATGTATGTATCTGTGTGTGTGCGTGTGTATCTGTGTGTGTGCGTGTCTGTGTCTGTGTGTGTGTGTATGTGTGCGGGTGTCTGTATCTGTGTTCGTGTATCTGTGTGCGTGTGTGTGTCTGTGTGTGTGTATGTATCTGTGTGCGTGCGTGCGTGTATCTGTGTATCTGTGTGTGTATGTGTCTGTGTGTGTGTCTGTGTGCGTGTGTATGTGTGCGTGTGTATCTGTGTGTGCGTGTATCTGTGTGTATCTGTGTGTGTGTCTGTGTGTGTGCGTGCGTGTGTACAGGCAGCGCTGTGCGCTGTGCACATCATCCGCAAGGTGCCGGAGCTCATGGAGATGTTCCTGCCTGCGACGCGGAACTTGCTGAGTGAGAAAAACCACGGTGAGACACCCTGACCCCTGACCCCTGGGGGGTGAGACACCCTGTCTCTGGGGGGTGAGACACCCTGTCTCTGGGGAGTGAGACACCCTGTCTCTGGGGAGTGAGACACCCTGTCTCTGGGGGGTGAGACACCCTGTCTCTGGGGGGTGAGACACCCTGTCTCTAGGGGGTGAGACACCCTGTCTCTGGAGGTGAGACACCCTGTCTCTGGGGTGAGACACCCTGTCTCTGGGGGGTGAGACACCCTGTCTCTAGGGGGTGAGACACCCTGTCTCTGGGGTGAGACACCCTGTCTCTGGGGGGTGAGACACCCTGTCTCTGGAGGTGAGACACCCTGTCTCTGGAGGTGAGACACCCTGTCTCTGGGGGGTGAGACACCCTGTCTCTAGGGGGTGAGACACCCTGTCTCTGGGGTGAGACACCCTGTCTCTGGGGGGTGAGACACCCTGTCTCTAGGGGGTGAGACACCCTGTCTCTGGGGTGAGACACCCTGTCTCTGGGGTGAGACACCCTGTCTCTGGGGTGAGACACCCTGTCTCTGGAGTGAGACACCCTGTCTCTGGGGGGTGAGACACCCTGTCTCTGGGGTGAGACACCCTGTCTCTGGGGGGTGAGACACCCTGTCTCTAGGGGGTGAGACACCCTGTCTCTGGGGTGAGACACCCTGTCTCTGGGGGGTGAGACACCCTGTCTCTAGGGGGTGAGACACCCTGTCTCTGGGGTGAGACACCCTGACCCCTGGGGGGGGTGAGACACCCTGCCCCTGGGGGGTGAGACACCCTGTCCCTGGGGGGTGAAACACAATGTCTCTGGAGGTGAGACACCCTGTCTCTGGGGGGTGAGACACCCTGTCTCTGGGGGGTGAGACACCCTGTCTCTGGGGTGAGACACCCTGTCTCTGGGGGGTGGGACACCCTGTCTCTGGGGGGTGGGACACCCTGTCTCTGGGGGGTGAGACACCCTGTCTCTGGGGTGAGACACCCTGTCTCTGGGGTGAAACACCCTGTCTCTAGGGGGTGAGACACCCTGTCTCTGGGGGGTGAGACACCCTGTCCCTGGGGGGTGAGACACCCTGTCTCTGGGGGGTGAGACACCCTGTCTCTGGGGGGTGAGACACCCTGTCTCTGGGGGGTGAGACACCCTGTCTCTGGGGTGAGACACCCTGTCTCTGGGGGGTGAGACACCCTGTCTCTGGGGGGTGAGACACCCTGTCTCTGGGGTGTGACACCCTGTCTCTGGGGGGTGAGACACCCTGTCTCTAGGGGGTGAGACACCCTGTCTCTGGAGGTGAGACACCCTGTCTCTGGGGGGTGAGACACCCTGTCTCTGGGGTGAGACACCCTGTCTCTGGGGGGGTGAGACACCCTGTCTCTGGGGGGTGAGACACCCTGTCTCTGGGGTGAGACACCCTGTCTCTGGGGTGAAACACCCTGTCTCTAGGGGGTGAGACACCCTGTCTCTGGGGGGTGAGACACCCTGTCCCTGGGGGGTGAGACACCCTGTCTCTGGGGGGTGAGACACCCTGTCTCTGGGGGGTGAGACACCCTGTCTCTGGGGGGTGAGACACCCTGTCTCTGGGGGGTGAGACACCCTGTCTCTGGGGGGTGAGACACCCTGTCTCTGGGGGGTGAGACACCCTGTCTCTGGGGGGTGAGACACCCTGTCTCTTGGGTGAGACACCCTGTCTCTGGGGTGAGACACCCTGTCTTTAGGGGGTGAGACACCCTGTCTCTGGGGGGTGAGACACCCTGTCCCTGGGGGGTGAGACACCCTGTCTCTGGGGGGTGAGACACCCTGTCTCTGGGGGGTGAGACACCCTGTCTCTGGGGGGTGAGACACCCTGTCTCTGGGGGGTGAGACACCCTGTCTCTGGGGGGTGAGACACCCTGTCTCTGGGGGGTGAGACACCCTGTCTCTGGGGGGTGAGACACCCTGTCTCTGGGGGGTGAGACACCCTGTCTCTGGGGGGTGAGACACCCTGTCTCTGGGGGTGAGACACCCTGTCTCTGGGGGTGGTGAGACACCCTGACCCCTGGTCCCCACAAGCCTCTGCCGGGTGCCGGAGTCTGTGGGGAGCGGTGGGGCAGCGGTTAGTGCAGCGTTAACCCGGCAGATGACCCTCGTGTTTGGCTGCTGCTACAAACGTGGTGACGACGATGACGACGATGATGACGATGACGACGATGATGACGATGACGATATCAGCCACGTGATGATGATATCAGCCACGTGATGATGATATCAGCCACGTGGCTAAGCTGCGATTATGTGCGATGGGCCGGGCCAGGATCGATTCTGCAAAAGGGCGACTTCCCCGTTGCCTGCTGCAAATATAAAATTGTTGTTTACACGGCACTTGCCCCAGCCGCCCGTGAAGGCTACGCCGTGGTGGAATTTTGTCTTTGTCTCTCTTGCAGGCGTCTTGCATACAGCGGTCGTGCTGATCACAGACATGTGTGAGCGTAGTCCAGACACGCTCACTCACTTCCGCAAGGTAATTTACACTCACACTCGCACACACTCACACACACAGACACACACACTCACACACACACACTGACACAACAACCGCCATTCGCCACTAAGTGGCGGTGACGTCACCACGACGCTTGTGCCAGGCTATGTGCACCCTGAGGCCACGTGAAGTGTCGAACGCCCGCTGGCAGGAGGTCACGGGGCAGACCCAGGTGCTACGGGTCGACTGACTGAGATGAGTGGCTGATGCACCACCTGTGCCCCCTACTGTGCCAACCTGCTGTGCTTAAGCCACCCGGCGCTCCGCTCGTTGTTGTGAGCGTCGTTCCTCCGCCCTCCGTTGTTGTTGGAGGGCGACTGCCTCCAACTGCCCAGCAGTGTCCTTCACGAGCCTCCTCCACAGAGGCCGATCTTGACACCGCTGGTGCCGGTCATCGGCAAGTCCACTCAGCTCCACGTCCTCCTGTACCACATCACTCCATCTCTTCTCTAGCCCGTGCCACGCCCGTTTAGCCCCCTCGATCCGGCCGAACAAAAGCTGTTTCGGCATGCGGTGGCTGGGCATGCGGGCTACATGACCCAGCCATCGCAGCCTTGCCTGCCGGAGGAGCTTACCGATGGGACCTTGCCCAGATTTTTCAAGGATTTGTGAGCTCCTCACACAATCCAGTCTGGTTAAACCCAGGATGGATCGTAGGCAGGCCAGCCTAAATGTTTCTAACTGGTGAAGATGTTCCATTAGGGGGGTCCACGTTTCGCAAGCGTAGAGAAGGAAGGGAATGACCATGGCCGAGAAGACCTGAAGCTTAGTGCGGAGCGACAGACCAGGTAGCTTCCACACAGCGTTACGCAACCGATGAAAAGATATTGCCGCTCGACTGATTCGGAGTGAGACCTCTGCTGTTAAACTGGAGCCGGTCATAAGCACACTGCCCAGGTCTGGGAAACTCTCCACTCCACAACTGCCCCATCACCGATTGGGAGTTGTGGGGGTGGAGTGTCCGATGGTACAAAATACCCAGGCAGGTGCTTAGTTTTGGTGGGGCTGATGGTAAGGCCCCATCTCTTAGTGGCACGCTCCAGTCTCAGCAGCAGCGTCTCCAACTCCTCCTCTGAATGAGCAGCTATTACCAAATCATCGGCATACATAACGTGGTTGAGCAATAGGGAGCCATCCCTTGACCGCACCCGGGCATCGATCAGCCTCCCATTATATCTGTATCAAATGGAGATTCCCCCGGTACAGCTATTGAAGGCTTCACGAACTACGTGGTCAAAATAGATGTTAAATAATGTGGGAGCCAGAGGACATCCCTGTCGCACCCCAAGGTGTACAGGGAATGGCTCTGACTCCCGGCCACGTAGTTTTACCCGGGCCCGCTCACCATCTTGAAGGTCCTTAATGATCGTGAGCAGAGGGTCAGGGACTCCAAAAGCACGAAGAACAACCCAGAGCCCAGGCCTACTGATGGTATCATAGGCCTTGACCAGGTCAATAAAGCAGATGTAGGTCTTGTTGGAATTCCCTACACCTCTGCTGTAGCAGACGGACAGAAACTATGGCATCTGTGCAGGACCGCCCTTTCCTGAAACCGCATTGGGGCTCCGCAAGCCTTTCCTCAGCGTGCCTGGCAAGGCGATGTTGAATAATGCTTGCCAGGACCTTTCCCAGCACACTGAGGAGTGAGATGCCCCTGTAGTTGTTACAGTCTATGCGGTCCCCCTTAAAGAGGGGGACCACCAGGGCATCCTTCCAATCCTGCGGAACCCGTCCAGTGGTCCAGACTGTTGTTATGATGTCATATAGGGCAGTCTGTGCACAAACGCCACCCTCCTTCAGCATTTCGCTTGGGAGATCATCTCTACCCGGTGCCTTTCCTGGTCTCAGACTCCGGATCGCCCTCAGTACTTCCTCAACAGATGGTACTTCAGCCAGCCACTCACAGGGGGTGACTTCTTCCAATATTTGAGGCACTGCAGCCTCGGCAGGGTCATCCTCACTTTGTGCCACGATGTTTTCCTGGCTGAGGGATTTTCCCTCCCCCAGGACCTCACAGAAATGCTCAGCAAATCTGCAAACCTGTTCCTGGGGGTTGGAGATTGGATCAACGTTTTTTCCCCTAATGATGGTAATAGGTGTGGCGCTGCAGGTTACTTTTTTGATGGAGTTAAATAGAGATTTGTGATCGCGGGCCACTGAGGCAGACTCCATCTCCTCAGCAACCCGCAACCACCACCCATCCTTGCAGCGCCTCACAGCTCTCCGAACCTCTGAGCGAAGGCTGCGGTAAGCCTCCTCATTCTCTGACGTGGGATTCTGTAGCCGATGACAGTGGGCCTGTCGCTTTTTCTCAACCATCCTGAACACCTCCTCTGTCAGCCAGGGTCTCTGGGGAGGTCTGGACCACGTACCCAAAGCAGCCATTGCAGCTGCATGAGTCACAGTCCTAAACCTCGCCCATTTACCCTCGACATCAGGAGGAGTGAGGGACGATGCCAATCCCAGCCGCAAGCGATGATGAAATTCTCGCTTGCAACTTTCATCAGATAACTGAGACCAGGCCACTTTAGGTTGGAATGGGGTCCTGGGTGTACACCCACCACCGGAGTGGAAGAATGGCAGGCACATCTTACAGATGACAAGTCGATGGTCAGAGGGCAGATCAGCTCCACGGTAGGTCCTGGTGTCAAGGACATGGGCTCGCATCCGCTGGTCCGTCACTATGTAGTCCAGCAGATGTTCTTGCTTGGACCCGGCATGCATCCATGATGTTGTGTGGATGCGCCGATGCCGGAACAGCGTGTTGGTAATTACAAGCCCATGGGCTGCACAAAAATCTAGCAGCCTCCTACCGTTGTTATTGAGCTGATCTGGCCCATGCCCTCCAATCACTCCAGACCAGGTGCCAGTATCATGACCAACTCGGGCATTGAAGTCACCCAACATGATGACTCTATCCCGAGGGGCCACTTTAGCCAGCACCTGTGACAGGAGGTCATAGAAGGCATCTGACTCACTGGCTTTGCCTGCATCCCTCCACTGATGTTCGTCTTCGGTGGGGGCATAAGTAACCACGACCACCACTCCTCGCCTCCGGTTGATGGGAAGGCGAGCCCAAAGTAGCCTGGGGCTTACAGCTTCCCACACCTCACCGCCACGCTCCCACGCCCCCTTAATTATTTTGTTCAGAAGAAGAGCCACACCCTGTTGTTTGGCAGTCTGCTGCCCCGAGTAGAGGACTGTCCACCCCTCATGGTGGCAGGAGCCAGAACCGGTCCACCGGACCTCCTGAATGCCACAGAGATCCAGGGGGTACCGGTCCAGCTCTCGACAGAAGAGTGGCAGCCTCTCCTCCGCAGTGAGCGTTCGAACATTCCACGTGGCCACCCGTAGTGGTTTTTTGTTGTTTCTGGAGGAGCCCCGAGGGTAGGGATTCAATCTCCTGGCTCCGCCAATTGGGGCTTGGCCAGGAGACGTCATGGACGCCTGTCCCCCCGGGGCCTCCGGCACGGGCTTATTAGTTACATATTTCAGTTTAACTTGTGGTGTAGTGGTAATTAATTGAAGGTGGAGGGATTACCAGCCCCTCGCACCCGTCCAGACTGACACAGACATACACACAGACACTGACACACAACAACAACAACAACAACCGCCATTCGCCACTAAGTGGCGGTGACGTCACCACGACGCTTGTGCAAGGCTATGTGCACCCTGAGGCCACGTGAAGTGTCGAACGCCCGCTGGCAGGTGGTCACGGGGCAGACCCAGGTGCCACGGGTCGACTGACTGAGATGACTGGCTGATGCACCACCTGTGCCCCCTACTGTGCCAACCTGCTGTGCTTTAGCCACCCGGCGCTCCGCTCGCTGTTGTGAGCGTCGCTCCTCCGCCCTCCGTTGTTGTTGGAGGGCGACTGCCTCCAACTGCCCAGTAGCATCCTTCACGAGCCTCCTCCACAGAGGCCGATCTTGACACCGCTGGTACCAGTCATCGGCAAGTCCACTCAGCTCCACGTCCTCCTGTACCACATCACTCCATCTCTTCTCTAGCCCGTGCCGCGCCCGCTTAGCCCCCTCAATCCGGCCAAACAAAAGCTGTTTCGGCATGCGGTGGCTGGGCATGCGGTCTACATGACCCAGCCATCGCAGCCTTGCCTCCCGGAGGAGCTCACCGATGGGACCCTGCCCAGATCTTTCAAGGATTTGTGAGCTCCTCACACAATCCAGTCTGGTTAAACCCAGGATGGATCGTAGGCAGGCCAGCCTAAATGTTTCTAACCGGCGAAGATGTTCCATTAGGGGGGTCCACGTTTCGCAAGCGTAGAGAAGGGAGGGAATGACCGTGGCCGAGAAGACCTGAAGCTTAGTGCGGAGCGACAGACCAGGTAGCTTCCACACAGCGTTACGCAACCGATGAAAAGATATTGCCGCTCGACTGATTCGGAGTGAGACCTCTGCTGTTAAACTGGAGCCAGTCATAAGCACACTGCCCAGGTATGGGAAACTCTCCACTCTCTCCACAACTGCCCCATCACCGATTGGGAGTTGTGGGGGTGGAGTGTCCGATGGTACAAAATACCCAGGCAGGTGCTTAGTTTTGGTGGGGCTGATGGTAAGGCCCCACCTCTTAGTGGCACGCTCCAGTCTCAGCAGCAGCGTCTCCAACTCCTCCTCTGACTGAGCAGCTATTACCAAGTCATCAGCATACATAACGTGGTTGAGCAATAGGGAGCCATCCCTTGACCGCACCCGGGCATCGATTAGCCTCCCATTATATCTGTACCATATGGAGATTCCCCCGGTACAGCTATTGAAGGCTTCACGAACTACGTGGTCAAAATAGATGTTAAATAATGTGGGAGCCAGAGGACATCCCTGTCGCACCCCAAGGTGTACAGGGAATGGCTCTGACTCCCGGCCACGTAGTTTTACCCGGGCCCGCTCACCATCATGAAGGTCCTTAATGATCGTGAGCAGAGGGTCAGGTACTCCAAAAGCACGAAGAACGACCCAGAGCCCAGGCCTACTGATGGTATCATAGGCCTTGACCAGGTCAATAAAGCAGAGATGTAGGTCTTGTTGGAATTCCCTACACCTCTGCTGTAGCAGACGGACAGAAAATATGGCATCTGTGCAGGACCGCCCTTTCCTGAAACCGCATTGGGGCTCCGCAAGCCTCTCCTCAGCGTGCCTGGCAAGGCGATGCTGAATAATCCTTGCCAGGACCTTTCCCGGCACACTGAGGAGTGAGATGCCCCTGTAGTTGTTACAGTCTGTGCGGTCCCCCTTCTTAAAAAGGGGGACCACCAGGGCATCCTTCCAATCCTGCGGAACCCGTCCAGTGGTCCAGACTGTTGTTATGATGTCATATAGGGCAGTCTGTGCACAAACGCCACCCTCCCTCAGCATTTCGCTTGGGAGATCATCTCTGCCCGCTGCCTTTCCTGGTCTCAGACTCCGGATCGCCTTCAATACTTCCTCAGCAGATGGCACCTCAGCCAGCCACTCACAGGGGGTGACTTCATCCAATATTTGAGGCACCGCAGCCTCAGCAGGGTCATCCTCACTTTGTGCCACGGTGTTTTCCTGGCTGAGGGATTTTCCCTCCCCCAGGACCTCACAGAAATGCTCAGCAAATCTGCGAACCTGTTCCTGGGGGTCGGAAATTGGATCACCGTTTTTTCCCCTAATGATGGTAATAGGTGTGGCGCTGCAGGTTGACACACACACACTGACACACACACACTGACACATACACACTGACACACACTGACACATACACACTGACACACGCACACACACAGACATGTGTCACTCACTTCCGCAAGTTGCGTTACACTTACTCTTTGGTTCTATTGGGTAAAGTCACGTAGGTGAAAAATAAAATAACAAAAATCACGACGTTTCGACCACAACACAAGCGGCCTTCATCAGGTGAAGGGACGAGACTGTCTGGAGGACAGCGCTGGAGTGAAAAAGCCACGCTCAGATCACGACCTTTAAGCTGTGTGAGAAGAAACAAAGCGCCTTGACAAAGGAATTAGCATATAATTTAGCATTGAAATGGCTGAGTGATTAGCTTGTGACTGGTCACAGAAATGGCTGTTAAAGTTAAAGCATACACATCCGCAGAGGCACCCCTTGACAAAGGAATTAGCATAGAATTTAGCATTGAAATAGCTAAGTTAAAGCATACACATCCGCAGAGGCACCCCTTGACAAAGGAATTAGCATCGAATTTAGCATTGAAATAGCTAAGTTAAAGTATACACATCCGCAGAGGCACCCCTTGACAAAGGAATTAGCATAGAATTTAGCATTGAAATAGCTAAGTTAAAGTATACACATCCGCAGAGGCACCCCTTGACAAAGGAATTAGCATAGAATTTAGCATTGAAATAGCTAAGTTAAAGTATACACATCCGCAGAGGCACCCCTTGACAAAGGAATTAGCATCGAATTTAGCATTGAAATAGCTAAGTTAAAGTATACACATCCGCAGAGGCACCCCTTGACAAAGGAATTAGCACAGAATTTAGCATTGAAATAGCTAAGTTAAAGTATACACATCCGCAGAGGCACCCCTTGACAAAGGAATTAGCATAGAATTTAGCATTGAAATAGCTAAGTTAAAGTATACACATCCGCAGAGGCACCCCTTGACAAAGGAATTAGCATAGAATTTAGCATTGAAATAGCTAAGTTAAAGCATACACATCCGCAGAGGCACCCCTTGACAAAGGAATTAGCATAGAATTTAGCATTGAAATAGCTAAGTTAAAGCATACACATCCGCAGAGGCACTCCTTGACAAAGGAATTCGCATAGAATTTAGCATTGAAATAGCTAAGTTAAAGTATACACATCCGCAGAGGCACTCCTTGACAAAGGAATTAGCATAGAATTTAGCATTGAAATAGCTAAGTTAAAGCATACACATCCGCAGAGGCACCCCTTGACAAAGGAATTAGCATAGAATTTAGCATTGAAATAGCTAAGTTAAAGCATACACATCCGCAGAGGCACCCCTTGACAAAGGAATTAGCATAGAATTTAGCATTGAAATAGCTAAGTTAAAGTACACACATCCGCAGAGGCACCCCTTGACAAAGGAATTGGCATAGAATTTAGCATTGCACTTGCCCCTTACAGTCTGTGAAGGCTACACCGTGGTGGGCGGATCTTTTGTCTTTGTGCGTAGCTGGTTCCACAATTGGTGCGGATCCTCAAGAACCTCATCATGTCCGGCTACTCGCCGGAGCACGACGTGTCTGGAATCAGCGACCCCTTCCTGCAGGTGAGAGACGTGGCACCCGCACCGCACCGTAGCAGCGGCAGCCATCACACCGCTCACTCACTCACCACACCACTCAGTCACTAACCACACCACTCAGTCACTCACCACACCACTCAGTCACTCACCACACCAGCCACTCACTCACCACACCACTCAGTCACTCACCACACCAGCCACTCACTCACCACACCACTCAGTCACTCACTCACCACACCACTCACTCACTCACCACACCACTCACTCACTCACTCACCACACCACTCACTCACTCACTCACCACACCGCTCACTCACTCACCACACCACTCACTCACTCACCACACCACTCACTCACTCACCACACCACTCACTCACTCACTCACCACACCAGCCACTCACTCACCACTCACTCACTCACCACACCACACCACTCACTCACCACACCATTCGCTCACTCACCACACCACTCACTCGCTCACTCACCACGTCACTCACTCACCACCCACTCACCACACCACTCACTCACCACACCACTCACTCGCTCACCACACCACTCACTCACTCACCACACCACTCACTCACTCACCACACCACTCACTCACCACACCACTCACTCACTCACTCACCACACCACTCGCTCACTCACCACACCACTCGCTCACTCACCACACCACTCACTCACCACACCACTCACTCACTCACTACACCACTCACTCACTACACCACTCACTCACTCACCACACCACTCACTCACCACTCACTCACTCACCACACCGCTCACTCACCACACCACTCACTCACCACACCACTCACTCACCACACCACTTACTCACTCACCACACCACTCACTCACCACACCACTCACTCACCACACCACTCACTCACTCACCACCCACTCACTCACCACACCACTCACTCACTCACCACACCACTCGCTCACTCACCACTCACCACACCACTCACTCACTCACCACACCACTCGCTCACTCACCACCCACTCACTCACTACTCACTCACTCGCTCACTCACCACACCACTCACTCACCACTCACTCACTCACTCACCACTCACTCACTCACCACACCACTCACTCACCACACCATTCACTCACCACACCACTCGCTCACCACACCACTCGCTCACCACACCACTCACCACACCACTCACTCACCACACCACTCACTCACCACTCACTCACTCACCACTCACTCACCACACCTCTCACTCACCACACCACTCACTCACCACTCACTCACTCACTCACCACTCACTCACTCACTCACCAGACCACTCACTCACCACACCACTCACTCACCACACCACTCACTCGCTCACCACACCACTCACTCACTCACCACGCCACTCACTCACCACACCACTCACTCACCACCCCCTCACACTCACTCACCACACCGCTCACCACACCACTCACCACCCCCTCACCACCCACTCACCACCCGCTCACCACCCGCTCACCACCCGCTCACCACACCACTCACCACTCACCACCCACTCACCACACCACTCACCACCCACTCACCACACCACTCACCACCCGCTCACCACTCACTCACCACCCACTCACCACCCGCTCACCACCTGCTCACCACCCGCTCACCACTCACTCACCACTCACTCACCACCCGCTCACCACCCGCTCACCACCCCCTCACCACACCACTCACCACCCACTCACCACACCACTCACCACACCACTCACCACACCACTCACCACACCACTCACTCACCACACCACTCACCACCCACTCACCACCCGCTCACCACACCACTCACCACACCACTCACCACCCCCTCACCACACCACTCACCACCCACTCACCACACCACTCACCACACCACTCACCACACCACTCACCACTCACTCACCACCCACTCACCACCCGCTCACCACACCACTCACCACCCACTCACCACACCACTCACCACACCACTCACCACACCACTCACTCACCACCCCCTCACCACACCACTCACTCACCACACCACTCACCACACCACTCACCACCCGCTCACCACTCGCTCACCACCCGCTCACCACCCGCTCACCACCCGCTCACCACTCACTCACTACACCACTCACCACTCACTCACCACCCCCTCGCCACCCACTCACCACTCACTCACCACCCCCTCACTCACCACACCACTCACCACCCACTCACCACACCACTCACCACCCCCACACCACACCACTCACCACACCACTCACCACCCCCTCACTCACCACACCACACCACTCACCACACCACTCACCACCCCCTCACCACCCCCTCACCACACCACTCACCACCCACTCACTCACCACACCACTCACCACACCACTCACCACCCACTCACCACACCACTCACCACCCCCTCACCACCCCCTCACCACACCACTCACCACCCACTCACTCACCACACCACTCACCACCCCCACACCACACCACTCACCACACCACTCACCACCCCCACACCACACCACTCACCACACCACTCACCACACCACTCACCACCCACTCACCACTCACCACCCCCTCACCACCCACTCACCACCCCCTCACCACCCACTCACCACTCACTCACCACTCACTCACCACACCACACCACTCACCACACCACTCACCACTCACTCACCACCCCCTCACCACTCACTCACCACCCCCTCACCACCCACTCACCACTCACTCACCACCCCCTCACTCACCACACCACACCACTCACCACACCACTCACCACACCACTCACCACTCACTCACCACCCTCCTCACCACTCACTCACCACCCCCTCACCACCCACTCACCACTCACTCACCACCCCCTCACTCACCACACCACACCACTCACCACCCACTCACCACACCACTCACCACCCGCTCACCCTCCTCGTGTAGGTGAGGATTCTGAGGTTGCTGCGCATCCTTGGCAAGAGCGACGATGAAGCGAGCGAGGCCATGAACGACATCCTGGCTCAGGTGAGAGAGAGAGTGTGGGGGAGTGGGAGAGTGGGGGAGTGAGAGAGAGTGTGTGAGTGAGAGAGTGTGAGAGTGTGAGTGAGAGAGTGAGAGAGAGAGTGAGAGAGTGTGAGAGTGAGAGTGTGAGAGTGTGAGAGAGAGAGTGATAGAGAGTGAGTGAGTGAATGTGAGACTGTCAGAGTGAGAGAGTGAGACAGTGAGAGAGTGAGACAGTGAGAGAGTGAGACAGTGAGAGAGTGAGACAGTGAGAGAGTGAGACAGTGAGAGAGTGAATGAGCCCTGTGCCCACCTGCCCATTGCTTCACCCGTCACTCCCTCCCTCCTCACCCCCACACCCCTCACCCCCCCACCCCTCACCCCCCCGCCCCTCCCCCCCCCGCCTCCCACCCCCCCGCCCCCCACCCCCCTCCCCCCCCCGCCCCCCACAGGTGGCGACCAACACAGAGACGAGTAAGAATGTGGGCAACGCCATCTTGTACGAGACGGTGCTCACCATCATGGACATCAAGTCGGAGAGCGGCCTGCGGGTGGGCGGCACCGCCGGGGTCACGGGGGGGTCACGGGGGGGTCACGGGGGGGTCACGGGGTGGTGGGGGTCATGGTGCAGTGGGGGTCACAGTGCGGTGGGGGTCACGGAGGGGGAGGGGGGTCACGGGGGGGTCACGGAGGGGGAGGGGGGTCACGGAGGGGGGGTCACGGAGGGGGTCACGGAGGGGGGTCACGGAGGGGTCACGGAGGGGTCACGGGTGGCGGGTTGGTAGCGTAGATGATGTTGGTGATGGTCGCGATGATGATGATGATGTTGTTGATGTTGTCATTGATAATGATGTGACGTTATCGGTGACGGTGATGGTGACGGTAACGGTGACGTTATCGGTGACGGTGACGGTAACGGTGATGGTGACGGTGATGGTAACGGTGATGCCATCGGTGGTGCCAGCGCAGGTGCTGGCCGTCAACATCCTCGGCCGCTTCCTGCTGAACAACGACAAAAACATCCGGTGAGCTCCGAGTTCACGGGGTCATCTGCATACATTAGCATACATTAGCATAAATTAGCATGTTTTGGCATACATTAGACCACATTAACACGTATTAGCATATATCAGCATGCCTCGCCATACATTGCACATTACCATAAATTACCTTCCCCCCCCACCTACCCCCCCCCACCTACCCCCCCACCTACCCCCCCCACCTACCCTCCCCCCCCCCCCCACCTACCCCCCACCTACCCCCCCCCCCCACCTACCCCCCCCACACCCCCCCCAGCTACGTGGCCCTGACGTCGCTGCTCAAGACGGTGCAGACCGACCACAACGCGGTGCAGAGGCACCGCAGCACCATCGTGGACTGCCTCAAGGACCCCGACGTCTCCATCAAGAGGTGGGGGCACCCCTGGGGGGCGGGGGGGGTGGGAAGGGGTGGGGGGAGGGGAGGGGAGGGGTGGGGGTCGTCGGTGGATGAGATGGACCCCTGGTGGTGGAGTCTATGGGTCAGGTGGTGGGTCAGCTGGTGGGTCAGCTGGTGATTGGTGGAGTCTTTGGGTCATTTGGTGGGTCATTTGGTGGGTCTTCTGGTGGGTCAGCTGGTGATTGGTGGGTTCTATGGGTCAGCTGGTGGGTCAGCTGGTGATTGGTGGGATCTATGGGTCAGCCGGTGGGTCAGCTGGTGGGTCAGCTGGTGATTGGTGGAGTCTATGGGTCAGCTGGTGATTGGTGGGGTCTATGAGTCAGCTGGTGGGTCTGCTGGTGATTGGTGGGGTCTGTGGGTCAGCTGGTGGGTCAGCTGGTGGGTCAGCTGGTGGGTCAGCTGGTGATTGGTGGGGTTTGGGTCAGCTGGCGAGTCAGCTGGTGATTGGTGGGGTCTTTGGGTCATTTGGTGGGTCAGCTGGTGGTCAGCTGATGATTGGTGGGGTCTTTGGGTCAGCTGGTGGGTCTGTTGGTGATTAGTGGGGTCTGGGTCAGCTGGTGGGTCAGCTGGTGATTGGTGGGGTCTTTGGGTCAGCTGGTGGGTCAGCTGGTGGGTCTGCTGGTGATTGGTGGGGTTTATGGGTCAGTTGGTGGGTCAGCTGGTGGGTCAGCTGGTGATTGGTGGGGTCTATGGGTCAGCTGGTGGGTCATTTGGTGGGTCAGCTGGTGGGTCAGCTGGTGATTTGTGAGGTCTAAGGATCGGCTGGTGGGTCGGCTGGTGATTGGTGGGTTCTTTGGGTCACCTGGTGGGTCAGCTGGTGAGTCAGCTGGTGATTGGTGGGGTCTTTGGGTCAGCTGGTGGGTCAGCTGGTGGGTCAGCTGGTGATTGGTGGGGTCTTTGGGTCAGCTGGTGGGTCATTTGGTGGGTCAGCTGTAAGGTTAGCAGGACCCCAGTTCTATTCCATTTCTCACGGCCACCGACCAACATTGATGACGATTATATCTGTGTGTGTGTGTCTGTGCGTGTGTGTCTGTGCGTGTGTCTGTGCGTGTGTCTGTGCGTGTGTCCGTGTGTGCGTGTCTGTGCATGTGTGTCCGTGTGTGCGTGTCCGTGTGTGCGTGTCTGTGCACGTGTGTCCGTGTGTGTATCCGTGTGTGCGTGTCTGTGTGTGTGCGTGTCTGTGTGTCCGTGTGTCCGTGTGTGCGTGTCTGTGTGTGCGTGTCTGTGTGTGCGTGTCTGTGCATGTGTGTCCGTGTGTGCGTGTCTGTGTGTGCGTGTCTGTGTGTGCGTGTCTGTGCACGTGTGTCCGTGTCTAACGTGTGTGTGTCCGTGTGTGCGTGTCTGTGCATGTGTGTCCGTGTCTAACGTGTCTGTGCATGTGTGTCCGTGTGTGTATCTGTGTGTGTCTGTGTGTGTGTCTGTGTGTGTGTCTGTGTGTGTCCGTGTGTGTGTGTCTGTGTGTGTCTGTGTGTGTGTGTCTGTTCTGTGTGTGTCTGTGTGTGTCTGTCTGTGTGTGTGTGTGTGTGTCTGTGTGTGTGTGTGTCTGTGTGTGTGTGTGTCTGTGTGTGTGTGTGTCTGTGTGTGTGTCTGTGTGTGTGTCTGTGTGTGTGTCTGTGTGTGTGTATCTGTGTGTGTGTGTCTGTGTGTGCGTTCCCCCCCCCGCGTGTCAGGCGAGCGATGGAGCTGAGCTTTGCGCTCGTCAACGCGAGCAACGTGCGTGGCATGATGAAGGAGTTGCTCTTCTTCCTCGACAACTGCGAGTCCGACTTCAAGGCCGACTGTGCATCGGGTATCTTCCACTCGGCAGAGAAGTGAGCGGGGGAGGGGATGGCCCTCTCACCCCTCTGTGTGTGCCCGGTGTGTGTGTCTGTGCAGACACACACGGTGTCTACACAGAGACACGGTGTGCGTCTCTGTGTAGACACGGTGAGTGTCTCTCTGTGTAGACACGGTGTGTGTCTCTGTGTAGACACGGTGAGTGTCTCTGTGTAGACACGGTGAGTGTCTCTGTGTAGACACTGTGAGTGTCTACACAGAGACACGGTGTGTGTCTCTGTGTAGACACGGTGTGTGTCTCTGTGTAGACACGGTGAGTGTCTCTGTGTAGACACGGTGAGTGTCTGTGTAGACACGGTGAGTGTCTCTGTGTAGACACGGTGAGTGTCTCTGTGTAGACACGGTGAGTGTCTCTGTGTAGACACGGTGAGTGTCTGTGTAGACACGGTGAGTGTCTCTCTGTGTGGACACGGTGAGTGTCTCTTTGTGTGGACACGGTGAGTGTCTCTTTGTGTGGACACGGTGAGTGTCTCTGTGTGGACACTGTGTGTGTCTCTGTGTGGACACGGTGAGTGTCTCTGTGTAGACACGGTGAGTGTCTCTGTGTAGACACGGTGAGTGTCTCTGTGTAGACACGGTGAGTGTCTCTGTGTAGACACGGTGAGTGTCTACAGAGACACACACACCGTGTCTCTGTGTAGACACGGTGTGAGTGTCTCTGTGTAGACACGGTGAGTGTCTCTGGGTAGACACGGTGAGTGTTTCTGTGTAGACACGGTGAGTGTCTCTGTGTAGACACGGTGTGTGTCTCTGTGTAGACACGGTGTGTGTCTCTGTGTAGACACGGTGAGTGTCTCTGTGTGGACACGGTGAGTGTCTACATAGAGACACACACTGTGTCTCTGTGTAGACACGGTGAGTGTCTGTGTAGACACGGTGAGTGTCTGTGTAGACACGGTGAGTGTCTACATAGAGACACACACCGTGTCTCTGTGTAGACACGGTGATTGTCTCTGTGTAGACACGGTGATTGTCTCTGTGTAGACACGGTGAGTGTCTCTGTGTAGACACGGTGAGTGTCTCTGTGTGGACACGGTGAGTGTCTCTGTGTAGACACGGTGAGTGTCTCTGTGTAGACACGGTGAGTGTCTCTGTGTAGACACGGTGATTGTCTCTGTGTAGACACGGTGAGTGTCTCTGTGTAGACACGGTGAGTGTCTACAGAGACACACACACCGTGTCTCTGTGTAGACACGGTGTGAGTGTCTCTGTGTAGACACGGTGAGTGTCTCTGTGTAGACACGGTGAGTGTGTCTCTGTAGACACGGTGAGTGTCTACAGAGACACACACACCGTGTCTCTGTGTAGACACGGTGTGAGTGTCTCTGTGTAGACACGGTGAGTGTCTCTGTGTAGACACGGTGAGTGTCTCTGTGTGGACACGGTGAGTGTCTCTGTGTGCACACGGTGTGTGTCTCTGTGTGGACACGGTGAGTGTCTCTGTGTGGACACGGTGAGTGTCTCTGTGTGGACACGGTGTGTGTCTCTGTGTGGACACGGTGAGTGTCTCTGTGTGCACACGGTGTGTGTCTCTGTGTGGACACGGTGTGTGTCTCTGTGTGGACACGGTGAGTGTCTCTGTGTAGACACGGTGAGTGTCTCTGTGTAGACACGGTGAGTGTCTCTGTGTAGACACGGTGATTGTCTCTGTGTAGACACGGTGAGTGTCTCTGTGTAGACACGGTGAGTGTCTACAGAGACACACACACCGTGTCTCTGTGTAGACACGGTGTGAGTGTCTCTGTGTAGACACGGTGAGTGTCTCTGTGTAGACACGGTGAGTGTGTCTCTGTAGACACGGTGAGTGTCTACAGAGACACACACACCGTGTCTCTGTGTAGACACGGTGTGAGTGTCTCTGTGTAGACACGGTGAGTGTCTCTGTGTAGACACGGTGAGTGTCTCTGTGTGGACACGGTGAGTGTCTCTGTGTAGACACGGTGAGTGTCTCTGTGTGGACACGGTGAGTGTCTCTGTGTGGACACGGTGAGTGTCTCTGTGTAGACACGGTGAGTGTCTCTGTGTAGACACGGTGAGTGTCTCTGTGTGGACACGGTGAGTGTCTCTGTGTGGACACGGTGAGTGTCTCTGTGTAGACACGGTGAGCGTCTCTCTTGCCCCACTCGTGTAACACCCCTCCCCCCATCACCCCTCCCCCCACCCCTCCCCCCACCCCTCCCCCCCACCCCTCCCCCCACCCCTCCCCCCACCCCTCCTTCCACCCCTCCCCCCACACTCCCCCCACCCCTCCCCCCACCCCTCCCCCCCACCCCTCCCCCCACCGACAGGTACGCGCCCACCAAACGATGGCACATCGACACAATAATGCGCGTGCTCACCACGGTAAGTGCCTGGCACCACCACAGCCACAGCCACAACCACAGCCAGTTTAACATAACACACACTACTCACACAGAGACCCATAGACTACTCACACAGAGACACATAGACTACTCACACAGAGACCCATAGACTACTCACACAGAGACCCATAGACGACTCACACAGAGACCCATAGATTACTCACACAGAGACCCATAGACTACTCACACAGAGACCCATAGACTACTCGCACAGATACCCATAGACTACTCACACAGAGACACATAGACTACTCACACAGAGACCCATAGACTACTCACACAGAGACCCATAGACTACTCACACAGAGACCCATAGACTACTCACACAGAGACCCATAGACTACTCACACAGAGACCCATAGACTACTCACACAGAGACACATAGACTACTCACACAGAGACACATAGACTACTCACACAGAGACACATAGACTACTCACACAGAGACCCATAGACTACTCACACAGAGACCCATAGACTACTCACACAGAGACACACAGACTCACCACACAGAGACCCATAGACTACTCACACAGAGACCCATAGACTACTCACACAGAGACCCATAGACTACTCACACAGAGACCCATAGACTACTCACACAGAGACACATAGACTACTCACACAGAGACACATAGACTACTCACACAGAGACACATAGACTACTCACACAGAGACCCATAGACTACTCACACAGAGACCCATAGACTACTCACACAGAGACACACAGACTCACCACACAGAGACCCATAGACTACTCACACAGAGACCCATAGACTACTCACACAGAGACCCATAGACTACTCACACAGAGACCCATAGACTACTCACACAGAGACCCATCGACTACTCACACAGAGACCCATAGACTACTCACACAGACACACATAGACTACTCACACAGAGACCCATAGACTACTCACACAGAGACACATAGACTACTCACACAGACCCATAGACTACTCACTACACAGAGACCCATAGACTACTCACACAGAGACCCATAGACTACTCACACAGAGACCCATAGACTACTCACACAGAGACACATAGACTACTCACACAGAGACACATAGACTACTCACACAGAGACCCATAGACTACTCACACAGAGACCCATAGACTACTCACACAGAGACCCATACACTACTCACACAGAGACCCATAGACTACTCACACAGAGACACTACATTCACACAGAGACCCATAGACTCATCACTACACAGAGACCCATAGACTACTCACACAGAGACCCATAGATTACTCACACAGAGACCCATAGACTACTCACACAGAGACCCATAGACTACTCACACAGAGACCCATAGACTACTCACACAGAGACCCATAGACTACTCACACAGAGACCCATAGACTACTCACACAGAGACCCATAGACTACTCACACAGAGACACATAGACTACTCACACAGAGACCCATGGACTACTCACACAGAGACCCATAGACTACTCACACAGAGACCCATAGACTACTCACACAGAGACCCATAGACTACTCACACAGAGACCCATAGACTACTCACATAGAGACCCATAGACTCACACAGAGACCCGTAGACTCACCACACAGAGACCCATAGACTACTCACACAGAGACCCATAGACTACTCACACAGAGACCCATAGACTACTCACACAGAGACCCATAGACTACTCACACAGAGACCCATACACTACTCACACAGAGACCCATAGACTACTCACACAGAGACCCATAGACTACTCACATAGAGACCCATAGACTCACACAGAGACCCGTAGACTCACCACACAGAGACCCATAGACTACTCACACAGAGACCCATAGACTACTCACACAGAGACCCATAGACTACTCACACAGAGACCCATACACTACTCACACAGAGACCCATAGACTACTCACACAGAGACCCATAGACTACTCACACAGAGACCCATAGACTACTCACACAGAGACCCATAGACTACTCACACAGAGACCCATACACTACTCACACAGAGACCCATACACTACTCACACAGAGACCCATAGACTACTCACACAGAGACACATAGACTACTCACACAGAGACACATAGACTACTCACACAGAGACCCATAGACTACTCACACAGAGACCCATACACTACTCACACAGAGACCCATACACTACTCACACAGAGACCCATAGACTACTCACACAGAGACACATAGACTACTCACACAGAGACCCATAGACTACTCACACAGAGACCCATACACTACTCACACAGAGACCCATAGACTACTCACACAGAGACACACACACTACTCACACAGAGACCCATAGACTACTCACACAGAGACACATAGACTACTCACACAGAGACCCATAGACTACTCACACAGAGACCCATAGACTACTCACACAGAGACCCATAGACTACTCACACAGAGACCCATAGACTACTCACACAGAGACCCATAGACTACTCACACAGATACCCATAGACTACTCACACAGAGACCCATACACTACTCACACAGAGACCCATAGACTACTCACACAGAGACACATAGACTACTCACACAGAGACACATAGACTACTCACACAGAGACACATAGACTACTCACACAGAGACACATAGACTCACACAGAGACCCACAGACTACTCACACAGAGACCCATAGACTACTCACACAGAGACCCACAGACTACTCACACAAAGACACATAGACTACTCACACAGAGACACATAGACTACTCACACAGAGACCCATAGACTACTCACACAGAGACACATAGACTACTCACACAGAGACACATAGACTACTCACACAGAGACACATAGACTCACACAGAGACCCATAGACTACTCACACAGAGACCCGTAGACTCACACAGAGACCCATAGACTACTCACACAGAGACCCATAGACTACTCACACAGAGACCCATAGACTACTCACACAGAGACCCATAGACTACTCACATAGAGACCCATAGACTACTCACATAGAGACACATAGACTACTCACACAGAGACCCATAGACTCACACAGAGACCCATAGACTACTCACACAGAGACACATAGACTACTCACACAGAGACACATAGACTACTCACACAGAGACCCATAGACTCACCACACAGAGACCCATAGACTACTCACACAGAGACCCATAGACTACTCACACAGACACACGTAGACTACTCACACAGAGACACGTAGACTACTCACACAGAGACACATAGACTACTCACACAGAGACCCATAGACTACTCACACAGAGACCCATAGACTACTCACACAGAGACCCATAGACTGCTCACAGAGACCCATAGACTACTCACACAGAGACACATACACTACTCACACAGAGACCCATAAACTACTCACACAGAGACCCATAGACTACTCACACAGAGACCCACAGACTACTCACACAGAGACCCATAGACTACTCACACAGAGACACATAGACTACTCACACAGACACCCATAGACTCACACAGAGACACATAGACTACTCACACAGAGACCCATAGACTCACCACACAGAGACACATAGACTACTCACACAGAGACACACAGACTCACTCACATAGAGACACACAGACTACTCACACAGAGACCCATAGACTACTCACACAGAGACCCACAGACTCACTCACACAGAGACCCATAGACTACTCACACAGAGACCCATAGACTACTCACACAGAGACACATAGACTACTCACACAGAGACCCATAGACTACTCACACAGAGACACATAGACTACTCACACAGAGACCCATAGACTACTCACACAGAGACACATAGACTACTCACACAGAGACCCACAGACTCACTCACACAGAGACACATAGACTACTCACACAGAGACCCATAGACTACTCACACAGAGACCCATAGACTACTCACACAGAGACCCATAGACTACTCACACAGAGACCCATAGACTACTCACACAGAGACCCATAGACTACTCACACAGAGACCCATAGACTACTCACATAGAGACCCATAGACTACTCACATAGAGACACATAGACTACTCACACAGAGACCCATAGACTCACACAGAGACACATAGACTACTCACACAGAGACCCATAGACTACTCACACAGAGACACATAGACTACTCACACAGAGACCCATAGACTACTCACACAGAGACCCATAGACTACTCACACAGAGACCCATAGACTACTCACACAGAGACCCATAGACTACTCACACAGAGACCCATAGACTACTCACACAGAGACCCATAGACTACTCACACAGAGACCCATACACTACTCACACAGAGACCCATAGACTACTCACACAGAGACACATAGACTACTCACACAGAGACACATAGACTACTCACACAGAGACACATAGACTACTCACACAGAGACACATAGACTCACACAGAGACCCACAGACTACTCACACAGAGACCCATAGACTACTCACACAGAGACCCACAGACTACTCACACAAAGACACATAGACTACTCACACAGAGACACATAGACTACTCACACAGAGACCCATAGACTACTCACACAGAGACACATAGACTACTCACACAGAGACACATAGACTACTCACACAGAGACACATAGACTCACACAGAGACCCATAGACTACTCACACAGAGACCCGTAGACTCACACAGAGACCCATAGACTACTCACACAGAGACCCATAGACTACTCACACAGAGACCCATAGACTACTCACACAGAGACCCATAGACTACTCACATAGAGACCCATAGACTACTCACATAGAGACACATAGACTACTCACACAGAGACCCATAGACTCACACAGAGACCCATAGACTACTCACACAGAGACACATAGACTACTCACACAGAGACACATAGACTACTCACACAGAGACCCATAGACTCACCACACAGAGACCCATAGACTACTCACACAGAGACCCATAGACTACTCACACAGACACACGTAGACTACTCACACAGAGACACGTAGACTACTCACACAGAGACACATAGACTACTCACACAGAGACCCATAGACTACTCACACAGAGACCCATAGACTACTCACACAGAGACCCATAGACTGCTCACAGAGACCCATAGACTACTCACACAGAGACACATACACTACTCACACAGAGACCCATAAACTACTCACACAGAGACCCATAGACTACTCACACAGAGACCCACAGACTACTCACACAGAGACCCATAGACTACTCACACAGAGACACATAGACTACTCACACAGACACCCATAGACTCACACAGAGACACATAGACTACTCACACAGAGACCCATAGACTCACCACACAGAGACACATAGACTACTCACACAGAGACACACAGACTCACTCACATAGAGACACACAGACTACTCACACAGAGACCCATAGACTACTCACACAGAGACCCACAGACTCACTCACACAGAGACCCATAGACTACTCACACAGAGACCCATAGACTACTCACACAGAGACACATAGACTACTCACACAGAGACCCATAGACTACTCACACAGAGACACATAGACTACTCTCACAGAGACCCATAGACTACTCACACAGAGACACATAGACTACTCACACAGAGACCCACAGACTCACTCACACAGAGACACATAGACTACTCACACAGAGACCCATAGACTACTCACACAGAGACCCATAGACTACTCACACAGAGACCCATAGACTACTCACACAGAGACCCATAGACTACTCACACAGAGACCCATAGACTACTCACACAGAGACCCATAGACTACTCACATAGAGACCCATAGACTACTCACATAGAGACACATAGACTACTCACACAGAGACCCATAGACTCACACAGAGACACATAGACTACTCACACAGAGACCCATAGACTACTCACACAGAGACACATAGACTACTCACACAGAGACCCATAGACTACTCACACAGAGACCCATAGACTACTCACACAGAGACCCGTAGACTACTCACATAGAGACCCATAGACTACTCACACAGAGACACATAGACTACTCACACAGAGACCCATAGACTACTCACACAGAGACACATAGACTACTCACACAGAGACCCATAGACTACTCACACAGAGACCCATAGACTACTCACACAGAGACACATACACTACTCACACAGAGACCCATAGACTACTCACACAGAGACACATAGACTACTCACACAGAGACACATAGACTACTCACACAGAGACCCATAGACTACTCACACAGAGACACATAGACTACTCACACAGAGACCCATAGACTACTCACACAGAGACCCATAGACTACTCACACAGAGACCCATAGACTACTCAAACAGAGACCCATAGACTACTCACACAGACACCCATAGACTACTCACACAGAGACCCATAGACTACTCACACAGAGACCCATAGACTACTCACACAGAGACCCATAGACTACTCACACAGAGACCCATACACTACTCACACAGAGACCCATAGACTACTCACACAGAGACCCATAGACTACTCACATAGAGACCCATAGACTCACACAGAGACCCGTAGACTCACCACACAGAGACCCATAGACTACTCACACAGAGACCCATAGACTACTCACACAGAGGCACATACACTACTCACACAGAGACACGTAGACTACTCACACAGAGACCCACAGACTACTCACACAGAGACCCACAGACTACTCACACAGAGACCCACAGACTACTCACACAGAGACCCATAGACTACTCACACAGAGACACATAGACTACTCACACAGAGACCCATAGACTACTCACACAGAGACCCATAGACTCACCACACAGAGACCCATAGACTACTCACACAGAGACCCATAGACTACTCACATAGAGACCCATAGACTACTCACATAGAGACACATAGACTACTCACACAGAGACCCATAGACTCACACAGAGACACATAGACTACTCACACAGAGACCCATAGACTACTCACACAGAGACACATAGACTACTCACACAGAGACCCATAGACTACTCACACAGAGACCCATAGACTACTCACACAGAGACCCGTAGACTACTCACATAGAGACCCATAGACTACTCACACAGAGACACATAGACTACTCACACAGAGACCCATAGACTACTCACACAGAGACACATAGACTACTCACACAGAGACCCATAGACTACTCACACAGAGACCCATAGACTACTCACACAGAGACACATACACTACTCACACAGAGACCCATAGACTACTCACACAGAGACACATAGACTACTCACACAGAGACACATAGACTACTCACACAGAGACCCATAGACTACTCACACAGAGACACATAGACTACTCACACAGAGACCCATAGACTACTCACACAGAGACCCATAGACTACTCACACAGAGACCCATAGACTACTCACACAGAGACCCATAGACTACTCAAACAGAGACCCATAGACTACTCACACAGACACCCATAGACTACTCACACAGAGACCCATAGACTACTCACACAGAGACCCATAGACTACTCACACAGAGACCCATAGACTACTCACACAGAGACCCATACACTACTCACACAGAGACCCATAGACTACTCACACAGAGACCCATAGACTACTCACATAGAGACCCATAGACTCACACAGAGACCCGTAGACTCACCACACAGAGACCCATAGACTACTCACACAGAGACCCATAGACTACTCACACAGAGGCACATACACTACTCACACAGAGACACGTAGACTACTCACACAGAGACCCACAGACTACTCACACAGAGACCCACAGACTACTCACACAGAGACCCACAGACTACTCACACAGAGACCCATAGACTACTCACACAGAGACACATAGACTACTCACACAGAGACCCATAGACTACTCACACAGAGACCCATAGACTCACCACACAGAGACCCATAGACTACTCACACAGAGACCCATAGACTCACCACACAGAGACCCATAGACTACTCACACAGAGACCCATAGACTACTCACACAGACACATAGAATACTCACACAGAGACCCATAGACTACTCACACAGAGACACACAGACTACTCACACAGAGGCACATACACTACTCACACAGAGACACGTAGACTACTCACACAGAGACCCACAGACTACTCACACAGAGACCCATAGACTACTCACATAGAGACCCACAGACTACTCACACAGAGACCCATAGACTACTCACACAGAGACACATAGACTACTCACACAGAGACCCATAGACTACTCACACAGAGACCCATAGACTCACCACACAGAGACCCATAGACTACTCACACAGAGACCCATAGACTCACCACACAGAGACCCATAGACTACTCACACAGAGACCCATAGACTACTCACACAGACACATAGAATACTCACACAGAGACCCATAGACTACTCACACAGAGACACACAGACTACTCACACAGAGACCCGTAGACTCATCACACAGAGACACATAGACTACTCACACAGAGACCCATAGACTACTCACACAGAGACCCATAGACTACTCACACAGAGACCCATAGACTACTCACACAGACACATAGAATACTCACACAGAGACCCATAGACTACTCACACAGAGACACACAGACTACTCACACAGAGACCCGTAGACTCATCACACAGAGACACATAGACTACTCACACAGAGACCCATAGACTACTCACACAGAGACCCATAGACTACTCACACAGAGACCCATAGTTTGTTTTCCTGTCGGGGCGGTGTTGGCATCGATGGTGGCGGTGGTGATGATTGTGGTGATGACGCTGGCGGTGTTGGTGATGATGCTGGTGATGGTGGTGACGGCGGTGGTTGTGGTGACGGCGGTGGTTGTGGTGACGGTGGTCACGGTGGTGGTGGTGACTGTGGTGATGGTGATGGTGGTGGTGGTGACGGTGGTGGTGACGGTGGTGGTGGTGGTGATGACGGTGGTGGTGGTGGTGGTGACAGTGACGGTGGTGGTGGTGGTGACGGTGGTGGTGACGGTGGTGACGGTGGTGGTGGTGGTGACGGTGGTGGTGGTGGTGACGGTGGTGGTGGTGACGGTGGTGGTGGTGACGGTGGTGGTTGTGGTGACGGTGGTGGCGGTGACGGTGGTGGTGGTGACGGTGGTGGTGGTGACGGTGGTGGTGGTGACGATGGTGATGATGATGATGGTGGTGGTGGTGACGGTGGTGGTGGTGACGGTGGTGGTTGTGGTGACGGTGGTGGCGGTGACGGTGGTGATGATGATGATGGTGGTGGTGGTGACGGTGGTGGTGGTGGCGGCGGTGGTGATGGTTGTGGTGACGACGGTGGTGGTGACGGTGGTGGTGACGGTGGTGACGACGGTGGTGACGACGGTGGTGGTGGTGGTGGTGGTGGTGCTGGTGACGACGGTGGTGGTGGTGGTGGTGACGACGGTGGTGGTGACGGTGGTGGTGACGGTGGTGGGGGTGGTGACGGTGGTGGTGGTGGTGACGGTGGTGATGGTGGTGACGACGGTGGTGGTGGTGGTGGTGACGGTGGTGATGGTGGTGACGACGGTGGTGGTGACGGTGGTGGTGACGGTGGTGGTGGTGACGGTGGTGGTGGTGACGGTGGTGGTGACGGTGGTGGTGGTGGTGACGACGGTGACGGTGGTGGTGTGTGCGTGTGCAGGCCGGGAGCTACGTGCGTGACGACGCTGTCCCCAACCTCATCCAGCTGATCACCAACACCACGCAGCTGCACTCCTACACAGTGCAGCGCCTCTTCAAGGCCATGCAGGAAGACATCTCACAGGTGGTGCCTCCTCCTCATCGTCATCATCAGCCACCTCCTCCACCTCATCCTCCATCTCATCGTCATCATCAGCCACCTCCTCCACCTCCTCCTCATCGTCATCATCAGCCACCTCCTCCACCTCATCCTCCATCTCATCGTCATCATCAGCCACCTCCTCCACCTCCTCCTCCTCCTCATCGTCATCATCAGCCACCTCCTCCACCTCATCCTCCATCTCATCGTCATCATCAGCCACCTCCTCCACCTCCTCCTCCTCCTCCTCATCGTCATCATCAGCCACCTCCTCCACCTCATCCTCCATCTCATCGTCATCATCAGCCACCTCCTCCACCTCCTCCTCCTCCTCATCGTCATCATCAGCCACCTCCTCCACCTCATCCTCCATCTCATCGTCATCATCAGCCACCTCCTCCTCCTCCTCATCATCAGCCACCTCCTCCACCTCATCCTCCATCTCATCGTCATAACCAGCCACCTCCTCTACCTCATCGTCATCATCATCCTCCTACCTCCCAATCATCCTCCTCCATCTCATCGTCATCATCAGCCACCTCCTCTACCTCATCCTCCATCTCATCGTCATAACCAGCCACCTTCTCTACCTCATCGTCATCATAATCCTCCTACCTCCCAATCATCCTCCTCCATCTCATCGTCATCATCAGCCACCTCCTCCACCTCATCCTCCATCTCATCGTCATCAGCCACCTCCTCTACCTCATCGTCATCATCATCCTCCTACCTCCCAATCATCCTCCTCCATCTCATCGTCATCATCAGCCACCTCCTCCACCTCATCCTCCATCTCATCGTCATCAGCCACCTCCTCTACCTCATCGTCATCATCATCCTCCTACCTCCCAATCATCCTCCTCCATCTCATCGTCATCATCAGCCACCTCCTCCACCTCATCCTCCATCTCATCATCATCAGCCACCTCCTCTACCTCATTGTCATCATCAGCCACCACCTCCACCTCATCCTCCATCTCATCGTCATCAGCCACCTCCTCTACCTCATCATCATCATCATCCTCCTACCTCCCAATCATCCTCCTCCATCTCATCGTCATCATCAGCCACCTCCTCTACCTCATCGTCATCATCATCCTCCTACCTCCCAATCATCCTCCTCCATCTCATCGTCATCATCAGCCACCTCCTCTACCTCATCGTCATCATCAGCCACCTCCTCTACCTCATCGTCATCATCATCCTCCTATCTCCCAATCATCCTCCTCCATCTCATCGTCATCATCAGCCACCTCCTCTACCTCATCGTCATCATCATCCTCCTACCTCCCAATCATCCTCCATCTCATCGTCATCATCAGCCACCTCCTCTACCTCATCGTCATCATCATCCTCCTATCTCCCAATCATCCTCCTCCATCTCATCGTCATCATCAGCCACCTCCTCTGCCTCATCGTCATCATCATCCTCCTACCTCCCAATCATCCTCCTCCATCTCATCGTCATCATCAGCCACCTCCTCTACCTCATCGTCATCATCATCCTATCTCCCAATCATCCTCCTCCATCTCATCGTCATCATCAGCCACCTCCTCTACCTCATCGTCATCATTATCCTCCTACCTCCCAATCATCCTCCTCCATCTCATCGTCATCATCAGCCACCTCCTCTACCTCATCGTCATCATCATCCTCCTATCTCCCAATCATCCTCCTCCATCTCATCGTCATCATCAGCCACCTCCTCTACCTCATCGTCATCATCATCCTCCTACCTCCCAATCATCCTCCTCCATCTCATCGTCATCATCAGCCACCTCCTCTACCTCATCGTCATCATCATCCTATCTCCCAATCATCCTCCTCCATCTCATCGTCATCATCAGCCACCTCCTCTGCCTCATCGTCATCATCATCCTCCTACCTCCCAATCATCCTCCTCCATCTCATCGTCATCATCAGCCACCTCCTCTACCTCATCGTCATCATCATCCTCCTACCTCCCAATCATCCTCCTCCATCTCATCGTCATCATCAGCCACCTCCTCTACCTCATCGTCATCATCATCCTCCTATCTCCCAATCATCCTCCTCCATCTCATCGTCATCATCAGCCACCTCCTCTACCTCATCGTCATCATCATCCTCCTACCTCCCAATCATCCTCCTCCATCTCATCGTCATCATCAGCCACCTCCTCTGCCTCATCGTCATCATCATCCTCCTACCTCCCAATCATCCTCCTCCATCTCATCGTCATCATCAGCCACCTCCTCTACCTCATCGTCATCATCATCCTATCTCCCAATCATCCTCCTCCATCTCATCGTCATCATCAGCCACCTCCTCTACCTCATCGTCATCATTATCCTCCTACCTCCCAATCATCCTCCTCCATCTCATCGTCATCATCAGCCACCTCCTCTACCTCATCGTCATCATCATCCTCCTACCTCCCAATCATCCTCCTCCATCTCATCGTCATCATCAGCCACCTCCTCTACCTCATCGTCATCATCATCCTCCTACCTCCCAATCATCCTCCTCCCTTTGCCCCCCCACTGTGCACCCCACTCTACCCCCCCCCCCCGCTGTGCTTGTTTGTAGTGCTCACACCCCCACCCGTGTCCCCCCCCCCCACGTGTCCCCCCCCCCCCACGTGACCCCCCACCCCACATGTCACCCCCACCCCACGTGACCCCCCACACGTCCCCCCCACCCCCACCCCACGTGTCCCCCCACCCCCACCCCACGTGACCCCCCACACGTCCCCCCACCCCCACCCCACGTGTCCCCCCACCCCCACCCCACGTGACCCCCCACACGTCCCCCCACCCCCACCCCACGTGTCCCCCCACCCCCACCCCACGTGACCCCCCACTCGTCCCCCCACCCCCACCCCACGTGACCCCCCACACGTCCCCCCACCCCCACCCCACGTGTCCCCCCACCCCTCGTGTCCCCCCACCCCTCGTGTCCCCCCACCCCACGTGACCCCCCACATGTCCCCCCACCCCCTTCCCACGTGTCCCCCCCCAGCCCCCGCTGGTGCAGGTGGCTGCGTGGTGCGTGGGTGAGTACGGAGACCTGCTACTGTCGGGACACTGCGAGGAGGAGGAGCCTATAGAGGTGGGTGGAGCCACTCACACGGGGGGAGGGGCCTATATAGGTGGGTGGAGCCACTCACACGGGGGGAGGGGCCTATATAGGTGGGTGGAGCCACTCACACGGGGGGAGGGGCCTATAGAGTTTTGTGGAGCCACTCACACGGGGGGAGGAGCCTATAGAGGTGGGTGGAGCCACTCACACGGGGGGAGGGGCCTACAGAGTTTTGTGGAGCCACTCACACCGGGGGAGGGGCCTACAGAGGTGGGTGGAGCCACTAACACGGGGGGAGGGGCCTATAGAGTTTTGTGGACCCACTCACACGGGGGGAGGGGCCTATAGAGGTGGGTGGAGCCACTCACACGGGGGAGGGGCCTATATAGGTGGGTGGAGCCACTCACACGGGGGGAGGGGCCTATAGAGTTTTGTGGAGCCACTCATACCGGGGGAGGGGCCTACAGAGGTGGGTGGAGCCACGCAGAGGCAGCGAGAGTGGCCACTCTCAGTGGGAGGGGCCACGCGCAGGCATAGGGGCCACGCGCAGGGGGAGGGGCCACGCGCAGGGGGAGGGGCCACGCGCAGGGGGAGGGGCCACGCGCAGGGGGAGGGGCCACGCCCGTCCTAGCGACGCCCCCCATCGTCGTCGTCACCGTGACGCAGGTGTCGGAGGACGAGGTGCTGGACGTGCTGGAGGGGGTGCTGCAGTCCAACGTCTCCACATCCATCACCCGCGGCTACGCCCTCACCGCCACCATGAAGCTGAGCACGCGGTTCTCCAGTACCAAGTGACTCGCTCAGTACACTCACTACTACACTCACTCACTACTACACTCACTAGTACACTCACTAGTACACTCACTCACTAGTACACTCACTAGTACACTCACTCACTGGTACACTCACTAGTACACTCACTAGTACGCTCACTACTACACTCACTCACTGGTACACTCACTAGTACACTCACTAGTACACTCACTCACTAGTACACTCACTCACTAGTACACTCACTCACTAGTACACTCACTCACTAGTACACTCACTCACTAGTACACTCACTAGTACACTCACTAGTACACTCACTCACTAGTACACTCACTAGTACACTCGCTCACTGGTACACTCACTAGTACACTCACTCACTAGTACACTCACTAGTACACTCGCTCACTGGTACACTCACTAGTACACTCACTAGTACACTCACTAGTACACTCGCTCACTAGTACACTCACTAGTACACTCACTCACTAGTGAGTGTGTGTGTGTGCGTTTGTGTGACCGTACGTGTGTGTGTGTGACCGTACGTGTGTGTCTGCGTTCGTGTGCGTACGTGTGTGTGCGTGTGTGTGACCGTACGTGTGTGTGTGTGTGTGCGTGCGTGTCTGTGTGTGACGTACGTGTGTGTGTGTGACCGTACGTGTGTGTGTGTATGACCGTACGTGTGTGTGTATGACCGTACGTGTGTGTGTGTGACGTACGTGTGTGTGTGACGTGCGTGTGTATGTGTGTGACGTACGTGTGTGTGTGTGTGTGACGTACGTGTGTGTGTGACGTGCGTGTGTGTGTGTGTGACGTACGTGTGTGTGTGTGTGCGTGCATGCAGTCGTATCCGCAAGGTGGTGTCTATCTACGGCAGCAGCATCGACATGGAGTTGCAACAGCGTGCAGTCGAGTACACCACGCTCTTCCACAAGTTCGACTACATGCGGTGAGTCGTGCGGGCGAGCGGGCGGGAGGGCGAGTGGGCGAGTGGGCGAGTGGGCGGGCGGGAGGGCGAGTGGGCGAGTGGGCGGGCAGGTGGGTGAGTGAGTCCACCACGCTCTTCCACAAGTTCGACTACATGCGGTGAGTCGTGCGGGTGGGCGAGTCCACCAAGCTCTTCCACAAGGTCGACTACATGCGGTGAGTCGTGCGGGTGGGCGAGTCCACCAAGCTCTTCCACCAGGTCGACTACATGCGGTGAGTCGTGCGGGTGGGCGAGTCCACCAAGCTCTTCCACCAGGTCGACTACATGCGGTGAGTCGTGCGGGTGGGCGAGTCCACCAAGCTCTTCCACCAGGTCGACTACATGCGGTGAGTCGTGCGGGTGAGCGGGCGGGAGGGCGAGCGGGTGGGCGAGCGAGTCCACCACGCTCTTCCACAAGGTCGACCACATGCGGTGAGTCGTACAGGCGAGCGGGCGTGCGAGGGTGTAGAGAGGAGGAGGCTCGTGAAGGACGCTACTGGGCAGTGCCAGGCTAGGTGCACGTTGAGGCCACTGGGCAGCAGCAATGGCCGGAGGGTGGCAGAGGAGCGTCGCCGCTCACAACAACGAGCGGAGCGCCGGGCGGATACAACGCAGCGACCAGTTGGCACAGTGGGGGGCACGCGTGGTGGTGCACCTAGCCTGGCACAGCAGCAGTCAACCCGTGGCACCTGCTGGGTCTGTCCCCTGACCTCCTCCTCCTGCACCTAGCCTGGCACAGGCATGCGTGGTGATGTCACCTCCACTTGGTGGCGAAACAGCAGCTGTTGCCGTAGCCCGCGGTGTGACGCGGTGTGACGCGGTGTGACGCGGTGTGACGCGGTGTGACGCGGTGTGACGCGGTGTGCGCACCGCGGTGACGTCCGGCGTTGTTGGCGGTGGTGACGGCGGTGGCGGTGGCCGTGGTGTTGGTGGCTGTGGTGGCTTTGTTGACGGTGGCGGTGGTGGCGGTGGTGGCGGTGGTGGCGGTGGTGGTGGTGGTGGCCGTGGTTGTGGTGGTGGCTTGTTTGACGGCGGCGGTGGCTGCGGCGGTGCAGGCCGGCACTGCTGGAGCGCATGCCGGTGATGGAGAGGGCCACGGCCAACGGGCCCACGGACGCCAACGGCGAGACCAATGGCGACGCCGAACACGGCGAGCGCAAGAAAGCCGACCCGGCGGCGTCCGGCGTTCCACCCGCCTCCTCCTCCTCCTCCTCCTCGGAGGTGCCACACTCACTCAGTCACTCACTCAGTCACTCACACACTCACTCACTCATACACACATACACACACTCATACACTCAGTCACTCACTCATACACACACTCAGTCACTCACTCAGTCACTCACTCAGTCACTCACACACTCACTCACTCATACACACATACACACACTCATACACTCAGTCACTCACTCATACACACACTCAGTCACTCACTCAGTCACTCACTCAGTCACTCACTCAGTCACTCCTCACACACTCATACACACACTCATACACTCAGTCACTCACACATACACACACTCAGTCACTCACTCAGTCACTCACTCAGTCACTCACTCAGTCACTCACTCAGTCACTCACTCAGTCACTCCTCACACACTCATACACTCACTCAGTCACTCCTCATACACTCAGTCACTCACTCAGTCACTCACTCAGTCACTCCTCATACACTCAGTCACTCCTCACACACTCATACACTCACTCAGTCACTCAGTCACTCCTCATACACTCACACACTCACACACTCACTCAGTCACTCCTCATACACTCACACACTCACACACTCACTCAGTCACTCCTCATACACTCACACACTCACACACTCACTCAGTCACTCCTCATACACTCACACACTCACACACTCACTCAGTCACTCACTCATACACTCACACAGTCACTCCTCACACACTCACACACTCACACACTCACTCAGTCACTCCTCATACACTCATACACTCACACACACACTCATACACTCAGTCACTCACTCAGTCACTCACTCAGTCACTCCTCATACACTCACACACTCACTCAGTCACTCCTCATACACTCACTCAGTCACTCCTCACACACTCATACACTCACACACTCACTCAGTCACTCCACACACTCATACACTCACACACTCACTCAGTCACTCCTCACTCAGTCACTCCTCACTCAGTCACTCCTCACTCAGTCACTCCTCACTCAGTCACTCACTCAGTCACTCCTCACACACTCACACACTCACACACTCACTCAGTCACTCCTCACACTCATTCACTCACTCACACACTCACTCATACACTCACTCACACACTCATACACTCACTCACTCGTACACTCACTCACTCATACACTCACTCACACACTCACACAGTCACACAATCACTCCTCACACACTCATTCACTCACACACTCACTCAGACAGTCACTCACACACTCACACACGCACTCATACACTCGCACACTCACACACTCACTCCTCACACACTCACTCAGTCAATCCGTCACTCACAAACTCACTCGCACACAAACTCACTCACACACTCACAAACTAACAGACTCACTCACACTCACTCGCACACTCACACACTCGCTCACACACTCACTCACACACTCCTCGCACACTCACTCAGTCACTCCGTCACTCACAAATTCACTCGCACACAAACTCACTCACACACTCACTCACAAACTAACAGACTCACACTCACACACTCACTCACACACTCACACAGTCACTCACGCCACTCACACACTCACTCAGTCACTCCTCATACACTCACACACTCACACACTCACTCAGTCACTCCTCATACACTCACACACTCACACACTCACTCAGTCACTCACTCATACACTCACACAGTCACTCCTCACACACTCACACACTCACACACTCACTCAGTCACTCCTCATACACTCATACACTCACACACACACTCATACACTCAGTCACTCACTCAGTCACTCACTCAGTCACTCCTCATACACTCACACACTCACTCAGTCACTCCTCATACACTCACTCAGTCACTCCTCACACACTCATACACTCACACACTCACTCAGTCACTCCACACACTCATACACTCACACACTCACTCAGTCACTCCTCACTCAGTCACTCCTCACTCAGTCACTCCTCACTCAGTCACTCCTCACTCAGTCACTCACTCAGTCACTCCTCACACACTCACACACTCATACACTCACTCAGTCACTCCTCACACTCATTCACTCACTCACACACTCACTCATACACTCACTCACACACTCATACACTCACTCACTCGTACACTCACTCACTCATACACTCACTCACACACTCACACAGTCACACAATCACTCCTCACACACTCATTCACTCACACACTCACTCAGACAGTCACTCACACACTCACACACGCACTCATACACTCGCACACTCACACACTCACTCCTCACACACTCACTCAGTCAATCCGTCACTCACAAACTCACTCGCACACAAACTCACTCACACACTCACAAACTAACAGACTCACTCACACTCACTCGCACACTCACACACTCGCTCACACACTCACTCACACACTCCTCGCACACTCACTCAGTCACTCCGTCACTCACAAATTCACTCGCACACAAACTCACTCACACACTCACTCACAAACTAACAGACTCACACTCACACACTCACTCACACACTCACACAGTCACTCACGCCACTCAAGCACTCACACAGTCACTCACTCACACAGTCACTCACGCCACTCACACACTCACAAACTAACAGACTCACTCACACACTCACTCACACACTCGCTCACACACTCACACCACACACTCACTCACACCACTCACACAGTCACTCACTCACACAGTCACTCACGCCACTCACACACTCACACACTCACTCTGACACTCACAAACTCACTCGCACACAAACTCACACACTTACTCTCATTCACACAGTCACACACTCTCATTCACTCACTCACTCACACAGGCCGTGGGTAGCGATGGTGAGTGGTGGTGGTGGTAATGGCGGCAGTGTTGGTAGCTGTGGTGGTGGTAGTGGTGATAGCGGTGCGGGTAGTGGTGGTGGTGGTAGTAGTTGTGGTGGTAGTGATGGTGGTGGTGATGGTAGTGGTGGTGATGGTAGTGGTGGTGGTAGTAGTGGTGGTAGTGATAGTGGTAATGATGGTAGTAGTAGTGATGGTGGTAGTGATGGTAGTGATGATAGTGATGGTAGTGATGGTAGTAGTAGTGGTGATGGGTAATTACCCACAATTCCGTGCGCATCAATGCGTGCCCCCCCCCCCCTTAAACCACCGCCTCCCCCTTCCCCCACCCCCCCCACCTACCCTGGTTGCCCCAGGTGACGGATCTGCTCGACCTATTGGGGGGCAGCACCACGCCCGGCCCCCCACTCCCAAACTCCTCCCTCCCCTCGAAGCAGCCCCTCCCCTCGGTGGCGGCGGCAGGAGGCGGTGGTGGCGGTGGCGGTGACCTCCTCAACCTCCTCGGACTCGACATCTCTGGTACGCACGCCGGCCGGTGTGTCAGTGGTGGTGTGTCAGTGGTGGTGTGTCAGTGGTGGTGTGTCAGTGTGATAGTGTGTCAGTGGTGGTGTGAGTGTGATGGTGTGTCAGTGAGTGTGATGGTGTGTGAGTGATGGTGTGTCAGTGATGGTGTGTCACTGATGGTGTGTCAGTGATGGTGTGTCAGTGATGGTGTGTCAGTGGTGGTGTGAGTGTGATGGTGTGTCAGTGATGGTGTGTCAGTGATGGTGTGTCACTGATGGTGTGTCAGTGGTGGTGTGTCAGTGGTGGTGTGAGTGTGATAGTGTGTCAGTGGTGGTGTGAGTGTGATGGTGTGTCAGTGAGTGTGATGGTGTGAGTGTGATGGTGTGTGAGTGATGGTGTGTCACTGATGGTGTGTCAGTGGTGGTGTGTCAGTGGTGGTGTGTCAGTGATGGTGTGTCAGTGATGGTGTGTCAGTGGTGGTGTGAGTGTGATGGTGTGTCAGTGGTGGTGTGTCAGTGGTGGTGTGAGTGTGATGGTGTGTGAGTGGTGGTGTGTCAGTGATGGTGTGTCAGTGATGGTGTGTCAGTGGTGGTGTGAGTGTGATGGTGTGTGAGTGGTGGTGTGTCAGTGATGGTGTGTCAGTGATGGTGTGTCAGTGGTGGTGTGAGTGTGATGGTGTGTCAGTGGTGGTGTGTCAGTGATGGTGTGTCAGTGGTGGTGTGTCAGTGGTGGTGTGAGTGTGATGGTGTGTCAGTGGTGGTGTGTCAGTGATGGTGTGTCAGTGGTGGTGTGTCAGTGAGTGTGATGGTGTGTCAGTGATGGTGTGTCAGTGATGGTGTGTCAGTGGTGGTGTGTGAGTGGTGGTGTGTCAGTGGTGGTGTGTCAGTGTAATAGTGTCAGTGGTGGTGTGAGTGTGATGGTGTGTCAGTGAGTGTGATGGTGTGAGTGTGATGGTGTGTGAGTGATGGTGTGTCAGTGATGGTGTGTCACTGATGGTGTGTCAGTGATGGTGTGTCAGTGTGATGGTGTGAGTGTGATGGTGTGTCAGTGTGATAGTGTGTCAGTGAGTGTGATGGTGTGTCAGTGATGGTGTGTCAGTTTTGGTGTGTCAGTGATGGTGTGTGAGTGGTGGTGTGTCAGTGATAGTGTGTCAGTGATGGTGTGTCAGTGATGGTGTGTCAGTGATGGTGTGTGAGTGGTGGTGTGTCAGTGTGATAGTGTGTCAGTGAGTGTGATGGTGTGTCAGTGGTGGTGTGTCAGTGGTGGTGTGTCAGTGATGGTGTGTCAGTGATGGTGTGTCAGTGAGTGTGATGGTGTGTCAGTGAGTGTGATGGTGTGTCAGTGTGATGGTGTGTCAGTGTGATGGTGTGTCAGTGAGTGTGATGGTGTGTCAGTGTGATGGTGTGTCAGTGTGATGGTGTGAGTGTGATGGTGTGAGTATGATGGTGTGTCAGTGAGTGTGCTGGTGTGTCAGTGGTGGTGTGTCAGTGGTGGTGTGTCAGTGATGGTGTGTCAGTGAGTGTGATGGTGTGTCAGTGATGGTGTGAGTGTGATTGTGAGTGATGGTGTGAGTGAGTGATGGTGTGAGTGTGAGTGAGTGATGGTGTGAGTGAGTGATGGTGTGAGTGAGTGATGGTGTCAGTGTGAGTGAGTGATGGTGTGAGTGAGTGATGGTGTGAGTGATGGTGTGAGTGAGTGATGGTGTGAGTGAGTGATGGTGTGAGTGTGAGTGAGTGATGGTGTGAGTGAGTGATGGTGTGAGTGTGATGGTGTGAGTGAGTGATGGTGTGAGTGTGAGTGAGTGATGGTGTGAGTGTGAGTGAGTGATGGTGTGAGTGTGAGTGAGTGATGGTGTGAGTGAGTGATGGTGTGAGTGTGATGGTGTGAGTGAGTGATGGTGTGAGTGTGAGTGAGTGTGGTGTGAGTGTGAGTGAGTGTGGTGTGAGTGTGAGTGAGTGAGTAATAGTGTGAGTGTGAGTGAGTGATGGTGTGAGTGTGATAGTGTGAGTGAGCGATGGTGTGAGTGTGAGTGAGTGTGAGTGAGTGATGGTGTGAGTGAGTGATGGTGTGAGTGTGAGTGAGTGATGGTGTGAGTGAGTGATGGTGTGAGTGAGTGATGGTGTGAGTGTGAGTGAGTGATGGTGTGAGTGTGAGTGAGTGATGGTGTGAGTGTGAGTGAGTGATGGTGTGAGTGAGTGATGGTGTGAGTGTGATGGTGTGAGTGTGATGGTGTGAGTGAGTGATGGTGTGAGTGTGAGTGAGTGATGGTGTGAGTGTGAGTGAGTGATGGTGTGAGTGTGGTGTGAGTGAGTGAGTAATAGTGTGAGTGTGAGTGAGTGATGGTGTGAGTGTGATGGTGTGAGTGTGAGTGAGCGATGGTGTGAGTGTGAGTGAGTGTGAGTGAGTGAGTGTAATGGTGTGAGTGATGCTGTGGATGGTATGAGTGAGTGATGGTGTGAGTGAGTGAGTGTGATGGTTTGGGTGTGAGTGAGTGAGGGTGTGAGTGAGTGTGTGTGATTGTGATGATGTGAGTGTGAGTGAGTGTGTGAGTGATGGTGTGAGAGTGAGTGAGTGTGATGGTGTGAGTGATGCTGTGGATGGTATGAGTGAGTGATGGTGTGAGTGAGTGAGTGTGAGGGTGTGAGTGACTGAGTGTGATGGTGTGTGTGTGTGAGTGATAGTGAGTGGTAGTGATGGTGAGTGTGTGAGTGATGGTGAGTGTGTGAGTGATAGTGTGTGAGTGTGACTGAGTGATGGTGTGAGTGATAGTGAGTGATAGTGAGTGGTAGTGATGGTGAGTGTGTGAGTGATGGTGAGTGTGTGAGTGATGGTGAGTGTGTGAGTGATAGTGTGTGAGTGAGTGTGATGGTGTGTGTGAGTGATAGTGAGTGGTAGTGATGGTGAGTGTGTGAATGATGGTGAGTGTGTGAGTGATAGTGTGTGAGTGTGACTGAGTGATGCTGTGAGTGTGTGAGTGATAGTGAGTGAATGATGGTGAGTGTATGAGTGATGGTGAGTGTGTGAGTGATGGTGAGTGTGTGAGTGATGGTGTGTGAGTGATGGTGAGTGTGTGAGTGATAGTGTGTGAGTGAGTGTGATGGTGTGTGTGAGTGATGGTGTGTGAGTGATGGTGAGTGTGTGAGTGATGGTGTGTGAGTGATGGTGAGTGTGTGAGTGATGGTGAGAGTGTGAGTGATGGTGAGTGTGTGAGTGATAGTGAGTGAATGATGGTGTGAGTGTTTGTAGCGAGTTGCAGCTACTGCTGCTACTCGCTACTAACAGCACTTGCCCCTACGCCTTGTTAAGGCTACACGGGACACCTTTGTCTGTGTGTGGGGGTGCAGGCCCCCCCCCAGTGTCCACGCTGCAGGGACCCCCTCCTGCGTTTCTTCTCGACAGCCTGGGGCCCGTAGCCAGCGAGACGCCCTTCAACAACGCCCTGCATGGTGAGACACTCGCTCACTCGCTCGCTCACTCGCTCGCTCACTCGCTCACTCGCTCACTCGCTCACTCTCTGTCGCTCACTCAGTCACTCACTCAGTCGCTCACTCGCTCGCTCGCTCGCTCACTCAGTCGCTCACTCGCTCACTCACTTTCTGTCGCTCACTCACTCTGTCACTCAGTCGCTCACTCGCTCACTTACTCTCGCTCACTCGCTCGCTCACTCGCTCACTCACTCAAGTCGCTCACTTACTCTGTCGCTCACTCACTCGCTCGCTCACTCGCTCACTCGCTCACTCACTCAGTCGCTCACTCGCTCACTTACTCTGTCGCTCACTCACTCGCTCACTCTCTGTCGCTCACTCGCTCACTCAGTCACTCACTCAGTCGCTCACTCGCTCGCTCGCTCGCTCACTCAGTCGCTCACTCGCTCACTCACTTTCTGTCGCTCACTCACTCTGTCACTCAGTCGCTCACTCGCTCACTTACTCTCGCTCACTCGCTCGCTCACTCGCTCACTCACTCAAGTCGCTCACTTACTCTGTCGCTCACTCACTCGCTCGCTCACTCGCTCACTCGCTCACTCACTCAGTCGCTCACTCGCTCACTTACTCTGTCGCTCACTCACTCGCTCACTCTCTGTCGCTCACTCGCTCACTCAGTCACTCACTCAGTCGCTCACTCGCTCGCTCGCTCGCTCACTCAGTCGCTCACTCGCTCACTCACTTTCTGTCGCTCACTCACTCTGTCACTCAGTCGCTCACTCGCTCACTTACTCTCGCTCACTCGCTCGCTCACTCGCTCACTCACTCAAGTCGCTCACTTACTCTGTCGCTCACTCACTCGCTCGCTCACTCGCTCACTCGCTCACTCACTCAGTCGCTCACTCGCTCACTTACTCTGTCGCTCACTCACTCGCTCACTCACTCAGTCGCTCACTCGCTCACTCGCTCACTCACTCTGTCGCTCACTTACTCTGTCGCTCACTCACTCACTCAGTCACTCACTCGCTCACTCACTCAGTCACTCACTCACTCATCCACTCACTCTGCCACTACGCCACTGTACACTACGCTACTGTACACTACGCCACTGTACACTACACCACTGTACACCACGCCACTGTACACTACTCCACTGTACACCACGCCACTGTACACTACTCCACTGTACACCGCACTACTGCACACTGCACTACTGTACACCGCACTACTGTACACTACACTGCACTACTGTACACTACTTCCACCCCCCGCCCCTCCCCTCGGTCCCCTCCACCCCCCCACCCCCTGCCCCCCTCCACCCCTCCCCCCCTCCCCCCCCGCCCCTCCCCCCGCCCCTCCCCCCGCCCCTCCCCCCGTAGTAGGAGGTGGTGGTGGTGTAGGCGTCGCCATCCCCACGATGGTGGCGTTTGAGAAGGGCGGCCTCCGTGTGGAGTTTGCGTTTGAGAGGGGGGCCCCGGCGGGGGGGGGGGCTCACCACCATCTCCCTGCGCGCCACCAACTCCAGCGACGCCGACATGGGAGACTTTGTCTTCCAGGCAGCCGTGCCCAAGGTGACGGTGGTGACGGTGGTGGTGGTAGTGAGGGTGGTGGTGGTGGTGGTGATGGTGGTGGTGGTGGTGACGGTGGTGGTGGTGGTGGCGGTGGTGACGGTGGTGGTGGTGGTGGTGACGGTGGTGGTGGTGGTGGTGGTGGTGACGGTGGTGGTGGTGGTGACGGTGGTGGTGGTGGCGGTGACGGTGGTGGTGGTGATGGTGGTGGTGACGGTGGTGGTGGTGATGGTGGTGGTGGTGACGGTGGTGGTGGTGGTGGTGACGGTGGTGGTGGTGGTGACGGTGGTGGTGGTGATGGTGGTGGTGGTGGTGACGGTGGTGGTGGTGACGGTGGTGGTGGTGGTGACGGTGGTGACGGTGGTGGTGGTGGTGGTGGTGGCGGTGATGGTGGTGGTGATGGTGGTGGTGGCGGTGACGGTGGTGGTGTGGTGGTGGTGATGGTGGTGATGGTGATGGTGGTGTGGTGGTGGTGGTGGTGATGGTGGTGGTGGTGGTGGTAGTGGTGGCGGTGGTGGTGGTGATGGTGGTGATGGTGGTGGTGGTGATGGTGGTGATGGTGGTGGTGGTGATGGTGGTGATGGTGGTGATGGTGGTGATGGTGATAGTGGTGATGGTGGTGATGGTGATAGTGGTGATGGTGGTGACGGTGGTGACGGTGGTGACGGTGGCGGTGGTGATGGTGGTGGTGGTGGTGATGGTGGTGGTAGTGGTGGCGGTGGTGGTGGTGATGGTGGTGGTGGTGATGGTGGTGATGGTGGTGATGGTGATGGTGGTGGTAGTGGTGGTGGTGGAGTGGTGGTGGTGGGTTAGTGGTGCTGTGTCTCCGTGTGTGTGTCCGTGTGTGTCTGTGTGTGCGTGTGTGTCTGTGTGTGTGAGTCTCTGTGTGTGAGTGTCTGTGTGCGTGTGTCTGTGTGTGACTGTGTGTGACTGTGTGCGTGTGTGACTGTGTGTGTGTATGTATGCGTGTGTTTGACTCTATGTGTGTGTATGTGTGTGACTGACTATGTGTGTGTGACTGTGTGTATGTATGACTGTGTGTGTGACTGTGTATGTGTGTGTTACTGTGTGTGTATGTGTATGTGTCTGTGTGTGTGTCTGTGTGTGTGTGACTGTGTGTGTATGTGTGACTGTGTGTAAGTGTGACTGTATGTGTGTGTGTGTGACTGTATGTGTGTGTGTGACTGTGTGTGTGTGTGACTGTGTGTGTATGTGTGTATGTGTCTGTGTGTGTGTCAGACGTTCCAGCTCCAGCTGCTGTCTCCCAGCAGCAGCTCGGTGCCAGCGCACGGAGCTGGCACCGTGACCCAGCTCATGCGAGTCCTCAACCCCAACAAGGTGCCAGCCTCTCACTCACTCACCACTCGCCCTCACCATTCACTCACCCTCACCACTCACCACTCACTAACCCAGCTCATGCGAGTCCTCAACCCCAACAAGGTGCCAGCCTCACCCTCACCACTCACCCTCACCATTCACTCACCACTCACCCTCACCACTCACCCTCACCATTCACTCACCACTCACTCACCACTCACTCACCACGCACTCACCACTCACTAACCCAGCTCATGCGAGTACTCAACCCCAACAAGGTGCCAGCCTCACCCTCACTCACCACTCACCACTCTCACTCACCACTCACTCACCACTCACACTCACCACCCACTCACCACTCACTCACCACTCACACTCACCACGCACTCACCACTCACCACTCACTAACCCAGCTCATGCGAGTACTCAACCCCAACAAGGTGCCAGCCTCTCACTCACTCACTCACCACTCACTCACCACTCACTCACACTCACCCTCACCACTCACCCTCACCACTCACCACTCACCCTCACCACCCACTCACCACTCACCCAGCTCATGCGAGTCCTCAACCCCAACAAGGTGCCAGCCTCACCCTCACCACTCACCCTCACCATTCACTCACCACTCACCCTCACCACTCACTCACCACGCACTCACCACTCACCACTCACTAACCCAGCTCATGCGAGTACTCAACCCCAACAAGGTGCCAGCCTCACCCTCACTCACCACTCACTCACCACTCACACTCACCACCCACTCACCACTCACTCACCACTCACACTCACCACGCACTCACCACTCACCACTCACTAACCCAGCTCATGCGAGTACTCAACCCCAACAAGGTGCCAGCCTCTCACTCACTCACTCACCACTCACTCACCACTCACTCACACTCACCCTCACCACTCACCCTCACCACTCACCACTCACCCTCACCACCCACTCACCACTCACCCAGCTCATGCGAGTCCTCAACCCCAACAAGGTGCCAGCCTCACCCTCACCACTCACCCTCACCACTCACTCACCACTCACTCACCACTCACCCAGCTCATGCGAGTCCTCAACCCCAACAAGGTGCCAGCCTCACCACTCACCACTCACTCACCAGTCACCACTCACCACTCACTCACCAGTCACCACTCACTCACCAGTCACCACTCACCACTCACTCACCAGTCACCACTCACTCACCACTCACCCAGCTCATGCGAGTACTCAACCCCAACAAGGTGCCAGCCTCACCACTCACTCACCAGTCACCACTCACCACTCACTCACCACTCACCACACACTCACCACTCACTCACCACTCACCCAGCTCAGGCGAGTACTCAACCCCAACAAGGTGCCAGCCTCTCCCTCACCACTCACCCTCACCACTCACTCACCACTCACTCACCACTCACTCACCACTCGCTCACCACTCACCCAGCTCATGCGTGTACTCAACCCCAACAAGGTGCCAGCCTCACCACTCACCCTCACCACTCACCACTCACTCACCACTCACTCACCAGTCACTCACCACTCACACTCACCACCCACTCACCACTCACTAACCCAGCTCATGCGTGTACCCAACCCCAACAAGGTGCCAGCCTCACCCTCACCACTCACCACCCACTCACCACTCACACTCACCCTCACCACTCACTCACCACTCACTCACCACTCACTCACCACTCACTCACCACTCACCCAGCTCATGCGAGTCCTCAACCCCAACAAGGTGCCAGCCTCACCCTCACCACTCACTCACCACTCACCACTCACTCACCACTCACCCTCACCACTCACTCACCACTCACCACTCACTCACCACTCACTCACCACTCACTCACCACTCACACTCACCACTCACACTCACCACTCACACTCACCACTCACACTCACCACTCACCACTCACTCACCACTCACACTCACCACTCACCACTCACACTCACCACTCACTCACCACTCACACTCACCACTCATCCTCACCACCCACTCACCACTCACTCACCACTCACCACTCACCACCCACTCACCACTCACACTCACCACTCACTCACCACCCACTCACCACTCACTCATCACTCACCACCCACTCACCACTCACCCAGCTCATGCGAGTACTCAACCCCAACAAGGTGCCAGCCTCACCACTCACTCACACTCACCACTCACTCACCACTCACTCACACTCACCACTCACACTCACCACTCACACTCACCACTCACACTCACCACTCACACTCACCACTCACTCACTCACACTCACCACTCACACTCACCACTCACACTCACCACTCACACTCACCACTCACACTCACCACTCACACTCACTCACCACTCACTCACCACTCACTCACCACCCCCTCACCCTCACCACCCACTCACCACCCTACACGCACCGTGGTGCCAGCTGTTGTTGATGGTTGTTGTAGTTGTTGTTGTTGATTGTTGTTGTGGTTGTTGATGGTTGTTGTTGATGGTTGTTGTTGTTTCAGCACCAGCTGCGTATACGTATAAAGCTCTCCTACACGTGCTGTGGTACCAGCTGTTGTTGTTGTGGTTGTTGTTGTGGTTGTTGTTGTGGTTGTTGTGGTTGTTTTTGTTGATGTTTGTTGTTGTTTCAGCACCAGCTGCGTATAAAGCTCTCCTACACGCACCGTGGTACAAGCTGTTGCCGTTGTTGTTGTTGTTGTTGATGTTTGTTGTTGTTGTTTCAGCACCAGCTGCGTATGCGTATAAAGCTCTCCTACACGCACCGTGGTACCAGCTGTTGTTGTTGTTGTGGTTGTTGCTGTGGTTGTTGTTGGTTGTTGTTGTTGGTTGTTGTTGTTGGTTGTTGTTGTTGATGGTTGTTGTTTGTTGATGGTTGTTCTTGTTGTTGTTTCAGCACCAGCTGCGTATGCGTATAAAGCTCTCCTACACACACCGTGGTACCAGCTGTTGTTGTTGTTGATGGTTGTTGTTGTTGTTTATGGTTGTTTGTTGTTGTGGTTGTTGTTTGTTGTTGTTTATGGTTGTTGTTGTTTCAGCACCAGCTGCGTATGTGTATAAAGCTCTCCTACATACACCGTGGTACAAGCTGTTGTTGTTGTTGTTGGTTGTTGTTGTGGTTGTTGTTGCTGTTGTTGTTGATGTTTGTTGTTGTTGTTTCAGCACCAGCTGCGTATGCGTATAAAGCTCTCCTACACGCACCGTGGTGCCAGCGTGACGGAGCAGGGGGAAGTCAACAACTTCCCTCCGCAGACCTACCAGTGACTCGCTACCACCACGGCAACAACAGCAGCAGCAGCAGCGGCAACAACAACAACATCAACAACAACATCGTCAACAACGTCAGCAACCACAACAGCAACAACGTCAACAACAGCAACAACGTCAACAACGTCAACAACATGCACATCAACAACGTCAACAACATGCACATCAACAACGTCAACAACATGCACATCAACAACAACAACCACTACGTCAACAACAAGCATCAACGTCAACAACAACCATGACAACCACGTCAACACCAACCACGTCAACAACATCAACAACAACAACGTCAACAACGTCAACAACATGCACATCAACGACGTCAACAACATGCACATCAACAACAACAACCACTACGTCAACAAACAAGCAACAACGTCAACAACAACCATGACAACCACGTCAACAACAACCACGTCAACAACGTCAACAACCACCACAACAACAACGTCAACAACAAGCATCTACCACAACAACAACGTCAACAACAACAAGCATCTACAGCGACAACAACGTCAACAACATCACGGCTACAACAACAACAACGTCAACAACATCACCGCTACAACAACAACAAGCATCTACCACAACAACAACGTCAACAACAACAAGCATCTACAGCGACAACAACGTCAACAACATCACGGCTACAACAACAACAACATCACCGCTACAACAACAACAAGCATCAACGTCAACAACAACGTCAACAACAAGCATCTACAACAACAACGTCAACAACACGCATCTACCGCTACAACGTCAACAACATCACCACCACCAACAACGTCAACAACAAGCATCTACCACAACAACAACGTCAACAACAACAAGCATCTACAACAACAACGTCAACAACAACAAGCATCTACAACAACAACGTCAACAACACGCATCTACCGCTACAACAACGTCAACAACATCACCACCACAACAACAACGTCAACAACAAGCATCTACCACAACAACAACGTCAACAACAACAAGCATCTACAACAACAACGTCAACAACACCATCACCGCTACAACAACAACGTCAACAACACCATCACCGCTACAACATCAACAAGCATCTACAACAACAACAACGTCAACAACACCATCACCGCTACAACAGCAGCTGCAACCGGAGAAGTGGGGGGGGGGGCGTGGTCATAGTGGGGGGCGTGGTCATGGTGGGAGGGGGGCGTGGTCATAGTGGGGGCGTGGTCATAGTGGGGGTGGGAGGGGGCGTGGTAATAGTGGGGGTGGTAGAGGTGGGCGTGGTCATAGTGGGGGCGTGGTCATACTGGGGGGCGTGGTCATAGTGGGGGTGGTAGTGGTGGGGGTGGGCGTGGTCATAGTGGGGGGCGTGGTCATAGGGGGGTGGGAGTGGGAGGGGGCGTGGTAATAGTGGGGTGGTAGTGGGGGGGGTGGTAGTGGGGGTGGGTGTGGTAGTGGGGGGGGCGTGGTAGTGGGGGGGGCGTGGTAGTAGTGGGGGGAGTGGACAGGCACGTGGGTTGATGTTGCGATGCAACGACCTTGCAATAGAGAGGTTACCCCCCTCTCTCTCTCTCTCGTTGTTGTTGTTGTTGGTTGTTGACGAAGGGGGTGGGGTGGGCGATGTTGATTTTGGGGGGCCGGGGCTTACAGCGACTACGTAACCACGGAAACGGGCGGGCGGGTGAGCAGGTGGGTGAGCAGGCGGGTGAGCAGGCGGGTGAGCGTACAATCGGTGGGTGAGTGGTGGGTGAGCGTACGACTGGGTGGGTGAGTGTTAGGTGAGCGGGTGGGTGAGTGAGTGAGTGAGCAGGCGAGTGAGTGAGCGGGTGAGTGAGTGAGTGAGCGAGTGGGTGAGTGAGTGAGCAGGCGAGTGAGTGAGCAGGTGAGTGAGTGTGTGTGTGGCGTGAGTGTGTGAGTGTGTGTTGGTGTGTGTGGTGTGTGTGTGTGGCGTGAGTGTGTGAGTGTCCGTGTGTGTGTGGGGAGCACGTGGTTGTGAACCCAACTGCACCAGCTCACCAGGGTTGCGCCTAGGTCCACTCGGCCTCAAACGACGAACCCCGTGGCGGAACGTTGGCCAGTGGCGGAGACTCACCCAGCACTCACCACTCACTCACCCACTTACTCACCCACTCACCACTCACCCACTCACTCGCCCACTCACTCACTCGCCACTCACCCACTCACTCAGTCACCCACTCACTCGCCCACTCACTCACTCGCCCACTCACTCACCCACTCACTCACCCACTCACTCACCCACTCACTCACCCACTCACCACTCACTCAATCACCTACTCACTCACCCACCACTCACTCACTCACCCACTCACTCACCACTCACCACCCACTCACCCACCCACCACTCACTCACCCACCCACCACTCACTCACCCACCCACCACTCACCCACCCCTCACTCACCCACCACTCACTCACCCACCACTCACCCACCACTCACTCACCCACCACTCACCCACCACTCACTCACCACTCACCCACTCACCACTCACCTACCCAGTCACTCACTCACCCACTCACCCAGTCACCCACCCACTCACCACTCACCAACCACTCACCCACTCACTCACCCACTCACCCACCCACCCACTCACTACTCACCCACCACTCACCCACCACTCACCCACCACTCACTTACTCACTCACCCACCCACTCACCACTCACCCACCCACTCACCCACCCATGCACTCACCCATCCATGCACTCACCCATCCATGCACTCACCCATCCATGCACTCACCTACTCACCCACCCACCCATGCATTCACCCACCACTCGCTCACCACTCGCTCACCACTCACTCACCACTCGCTCACCACTCGCTCACCACTCACCACTCGCTCACCACTCACCCACACCACTCACCACCGACCGTCCATCTGCTACTCGCTCGCTAGCAGCACTTGCCCCTACAGGCTGTTAGAGGCTGCACGGGGGAGCTTTGTCTGTGTGTCTATAGGCACTGCTGCTGCTACTCGCTAGCAGCACTTGCCCCTACAACCTGTTAGAGGCTACACGGGGGACCTTTGTTTGTCTAGGGGACTGCGGCTACTTCGCCACTAGCAGCAGGCTACACCAGGGGAGTCATCTTTGTCGTGTATGTGGTGTGTGTGGTGTTGGTGTGTGTGTGGTGTGTGTGTGGTGTGTGTGTACGTGTGTGTGTGTGGTGTGTGTGGTGCGTGTGGTGTTGGTGTGTGTGGTGTGCGTGTGTGGTGTGTATATGTGGTGTGTATATGTGGTGTGTGTGGGGTGTATATGTGGTGTGTGTGGTGTATCGTGTGTGTGTGTGGTATGTGTGGTGTGTGTGGTGTGTGTGGTTGATGTATATGTGTGGTTGGTGTGTGTGATGTATGTTTTGTGTGGTGTGTGTTTGTGGGGTGTGTGGTGTATGTGTGGTGTGTTGTGTATGTGTGGTCTGTGTGTTGTATGTGGTGTGGTGTGTGTGTGTGGGTGGTGTGTGTGATGTGTGTGTGTGGGTGTGTGTGGTGTGTGTGGTGTATGTGGTGTGTGTATGTGATGCGTGTGGTGTGTGTTGTGTATGTGTTGTGTGTGTGTGGTGTGTGTGTTGTGTGTGTGTGGTGTATGTGGTGTGTGTGGTGTATGTGGTGTGTGTATGTGGTGTGTGTATGTGGTGTATGTATGTGATGTTTGTGGTGTGTGTGGTGTGTGTGGTGTATGTGGTGTGTGTATGTGATGTGTGTGTGTGGTGTGTGTGTGTGTGGTGTGTGTGTGTGGTGTGTGTGTGTGGTGTGTGTGTGTGGTGTGTGTGTGTGGTGTGTGTGTGTGTGTGGTGTGTGTTGTGTGTGTGTGGTGTGTGTGTTGTGTGGTGTGGTGTGTGTGGTGTATGTGTGGTGTGTATGGTGTATGTGGTGTGTGTGTGGTGTATGTGTTGTGTGTGTGTTGTGTGTGTGTGTGTGGTGTATGTGGTGTGTGTATGTGATGTGTGTGGTGTGTGTATGTGATGTGTGTGGTGTGTGTGTGTTGTGTGTATGTGGTGTGTGTGTGGTGTATGTGATGTGTGTGTGTGTGGTGTGTGTATGTGATGTGTGTGGTGTGTGTATGTGGTGTGTGTGTGTATGTGGTGTGTGTGTGTATGTGGTGTGTGTGTGGTGTATGTTGTGTGTATGTGATGTGTGTTGTGTGGTGTGATCGTAACGTCTCGCTTTAGGAAGGGGCGGGGGGGAGGCTTTAATGGGTGGTTGGAGAATATAATAAAATAATAATGATTAAAATAATCGATGGTAAATTAATAGAACGATATATGTGTGTGTGTGTGCACCCGTGTGCGGATAAGGAAATTAAAAGAAGAATAATTGATGTTGAAAAGTTAATGATTTGTAAAAAAAAACCGCGCTCGGATAATGTTCGGTGTATGGGTCTCGGGGTGGGGTGAGGGGGGAGGTTTTTGAGTTTGACAGAACCATTAAAAGATCTCTTTGAACAAGAAAAGGTTAACGAGGTGCAGTAGAGACTTTCAGGAGCGGCTCTGGCGCGTGTGTGTGCGGTAAAAACCAGTGGGCACGGTGCCGCTGCGGTGATGGCGAGCGATTTCCTTGGGAGGGGGGGGGGGAATTTCTCACCCACCCACTAACTCTCCCACTCACCCACTAACGCACCCACTCACCCACCCACTCTCCCACTCACCCATTCACCCACCCACTCACTCGCCCACTCACCCATTCACCCACCCACTCACTCGCCCACTCAACCATTCACCCACTCACCCAATCAATCACCACTCACCCACCCAATCACCACTCACTCGCCCACTCACCCAATCAATCACCACTCACTCGCCCACTCACCCAATCAATCACCACTCACCCACCCAATCACCACTCGCCCACTCACCTAATCAATCACCACTCACCCACCCAATCACCACTCACTCGCCCACTCACCCAATCAATCACCACTCACCCACCCAATCACCACTCACTCGCCCACTCACCCAATCAATCACCACTCACCCACCCAATCACCACTCGCCCACTCACCCACTTCCCCACTCACCCAATCAATCACCACTCACCCACCCAATCACCACTCACTCGCCCACTCACCCACTCGCCCACTCACCCATCCACCCACCCAATCACCACTCACCCATCCATTCACCCACCCACTCGCC